TTATTAGCTTATTTAGTTTCCATGTTGATTCATGTTGAACTTGTAGCCCACTAAAACTCCACTTGATTTCCTCCTTTTCTTACATTCTCCTTTTGTCTCATAGCTTTTCATAAATTCATCTTTCTACCTAGCCCTCTACTGTAAATCAGCTCATAATCACATTGAAAATTGGGCCTCTGTTATGGCCTTCTTTGTATCCCCAGAGCCTGACACAAAGTAGATAGAATATTTGTTGAATTAAATAGAATTGAGTTATAAGAATCACTTCTTTCTAGAACTGTCCTCCTAGGAGAGAAGTTCTTCTGTCCATAAAATGGGAAAGATTCATTTTGGTGGGCCTCATGCTTTAGAATGATGGTTTAATAAATATTCCATAGCATGTTATTTTCATGTTCTTTCTTTCATTCTGTTTCTTTCATTCAAGTCTTCTTGTACAAAATGACTAATATGGAAATGTTTTGCATGATTGTACATGTCTAACCTATATCTGATTGCTTATCCTCTCAGGGAGAGGGGAGGGGAGGGAAGGAGGGTTAGAATTTAGAACTCAAAACAAAAAACCCCAAATGTTTAAAAATTGTTTTAACATGTAATGGGGGGGGGATACATAAATAAAGGAATAATCTATCTATCTATCTATCTATCTATCTATCTATCTATCTATCTATCTATGAATTATAACCAAGGACTCTTCTCTAGGACTTGCATGCAAAGTTACAGAGGGATCGCTGATTTCAACACATTAGAGAACTCCTTTCTTTCTTTCTTTCTTTCTTTCTTTCTTTCTTTCTTTCTTTCTTTCTTTCTTTCTTTCTTTCTTTCTTTCTTTCTTTCTTTCTTTCTTTCTTTCTTTCTTCCTTCCTTCTACTTTCCATTCAAATAACTCACAATAAATGCCATTCTAGGGTTTTCCTAATAAGTATACATATAGTCTAAAATCCTCGGTTTAGTAAATGTTATAAGGAAAAAACAGAATAGAGAGTCAGAAGACTTGGGCTTGAATCCCATCTCTGACATTAATTAATTAATGTGATCATATTAGTTAATTAATGTGTTCTCAGTAAAGCCACTTAAAATAAAAATACACTTAATCAACACTGAATGGGAAGGTATTAGCTAGGAATTGTTCTCCACACACAAAAATGGTCATCCTCCCCCATAGACCTTCATGCTATACTCTCCAAGACAACTTAGTGCTGCTCCCCTGCTCTTTCTCCTGGGAGTTGTTATATTTCACTCCCTCTGTTTCCTCATTGAGCTGCTGCTGGATTCTGCTGTTGGGCTTTTCTGCTGAGCTTCTGCTCTCATCTACTGCTAGACTTCTTCCCCCACAGAGAGGGCTGCTGTTCTTTTGTGAAATAGCCCATGACTCACACTGCTCAAGCACTTTTTTCAGCCGACCATAGCTATTCGCAGCCAACACAGAAGAGAGTCCCTTACATCAAAGTTTTTCTTTTTCTTTAAAAAAAATTACCTTACTCCTCTTCCGCATGAACTCCCCAAGACTGACTTGATATTTAGATTGAGGTTAGTATTTATTTCAACTCTCGTAATGCCACTGGCAGCTAGTTCCAAGGCCTTCCAAATTACACTGGAGTTTTAATTAGGAACATGGGATCTGGTTATATTTCTGCAGCTATGCCCAGGTCAGTATCTCCCTTACATAAGATGATTTTTTTTGTCCTATTATCCTAAACTCTTGTTTATCTAAGGAAGGTCAAGGAATGCCATGGTCCAGTTTTTCCCCCCCAACAGGCTGACAAATTTAGGACCTGTGGGTAGGGCATAATTCCTACTATATATAAACTACTTCTTGAGAGCCCCTAATTTCTTTTTAGGTAGTTACTAATCATTATAGTCAGTAGTAAAGCAGAGATTGAAAAACTAGCTGGAAGGGATCTTTGAGAATATCTTGTTCAACTTCCTTATTTTAAAGACAAGGTTTCTTAGTCCAAGAGATGTTAAGGGACCAGTCCAAGGTCATAAGAGCTAGTAAATAGCAGAACTGGGATTGGAAGTCATTTACTCTGACTCCAAATCAATGCTGTTGTTGTTGTTGTTTTTAATTAACTCCTGCTACCTGAGCTCAAATCCAGCCTCAGACACTTACTAGCTGTGTGACCCTGGGCAAGTCACTTAACCTTGTTAGCCTCAGTTTCCTCATCTGTAAAATGAGCTGGAGAAAGAAAAGGCAAACAAGAAAACCCTGAATGGGGTCATGCAGAGTGGGGTGTGACTGAAGTGGCTGAACAACAATAATATCCTCTCATGAGAAGAACATAAGATAAGAGATTAGATGACTTTTCAGCCAAAATGAATGCCACGCGAGATCATAAAGATTTGACCCAAGAAACAAAGATGTAGGCTAACTATGAACTCTAGGTGTTTAACATAACAATCTAAGTCATTTTGAGCAAAATCCAATTCCTCCCCAATCTATCAATTTGACATACCTTATCAAGTTTATATGCCTAAATATAGATCCAACCATGTATGGTCTGACTACCTCTTTATTAAAAAAATCTTCAGTAGGTTCAAGTTGCCTCTAGAATAAAATACAAACTCTTCAACTTGACCTTTGAAGCTCAGTACAATGTTGTTCCTACTTAATTTTTTTCCAACTGAAAAAAAAATGTGATTCTCTTTTCACTTACCCTCCAGTCCAAATAAGACTAAGCTACCAGCTGTTTCCCACCCATAACATTCCATCACCAGCCCCAGTACCTTCGTACAAGTGGCCTCCTGTATCTGGAATGCACTTCTGTCTGGTAGAATCCCTAGCTTTATTCTGAAATGCAGCTAAGGTGCTACCTTCTTCGTGAAGCCTTTCCTAATCGTCCCAGTTATTAGCACTTTTCCTCTTCCAATGATCTTGTTAGTACTCTGAAGTTACTTTTGTGCTTGTCATATCCTTGTCAAAAGAAGATAACCTCCATGACATAAGGACTGTTTCCTTTTCTATATTTTCTATATTACTTAGCACCCACTGCAGTGTAGGTGTATGTAATAAAGGCTTACTAAATGGAATTGAATTGAGCTGCCCCAGGATTCAGATGCCACCCTAATACCTTGTCATATCTCTCCCAGCTTTTAGAGGATAAAGTGCCCCACATCAGTAAATATCTGTCCCACTTGATCAAGTGATTGCTCTAGAGATGATTATAAGTTGTTTCTATGGCAATAAAGCTTTGCCTCTTAAAGGATCTGCTATCTGATGTCAAAATGTACATCTATTTGCCTTGAGCTACCATCAGGGTGGTGATTATCACTGTCTTATCTCCAGTATTCTGGATGGTGTGGACCAATTATTTCTATTGTTCACCATTCTGGTTATGTTGCAGTTCGTTTGGTGGGGGTTTCCCACAAGCAGCTATTTCATAGATAACACTGGACATGCTAGGTTTTTTTTTCCTCACAATTTCTCTTGGGAGTCGCAATCAAATCCTGTATGACTCTATGGACAACAGTGTATGTACTTATGTATCAATGCCTGAATTAAGCATTTTCCCCCCAACAAATTATGGTGGTAGAGTTTTTCTATCAATAGCTCCAGTGTGCTTTTAAAACCTCCACTATTCTCCAGAGCCCTACTCGAAGAAGACCAAGAAAAAAAATCAGGTGCTCAGGGCCACAATGGTGGCATTCACATTTCTTCCTGCTTAAAGAAACCTTAAAAAAAATCTTCTTAAAATATGGTGCCTATGATTTCCTTTCCCTGACCAGGGCCATAACTACATAGGGGTATTTGATACAGTATACTTTGAGTCTAGCTGCAAATGCCTCCCAGTCCTACATACATTTTCATTTGTGGATACCATATAATTATCTCTCCTCTTCCCCCACAGCCTGAGTATGAAATCCCTGAATACTGAGGGCTCTACCAATGGTGCTTTAGTTTGGTCAGCATATACTTTGGGGGTTTTGGAGACTTGATATTTTGACCAGTGATGTAGTGGAGAAAGCCCTGGATTTGGAGTCAGAAAACTTGAGTTTAAATTTTAGAATTGATAAGAATTATCTAGGTGACCTTGGGCAAGTAATTTCGCTTTTCTAAACCTCAGATTCCTTATCTGTCAAATGAGGGCAATAGGCTAGATAATTACTCACATTTTTATAGCAACTTGAGGTTTTTCCTAGGTTAGTATATTAATGTTGAGGCAGCTAGGTGGCCCAGCTGATGGAGTACTGGACTTGGGAGTCAGGAAGACCTGAGTTCAAATCCTGCCTCTGATACTTCCTAGTTGTGTGACCCTGAGTGAATCACTTAACCTCTGTCTGCTTCAGTTTCCTTTTCTATAAATTGGGCATAATAATAGGACATACACCCCAGGGTTCTTCTGAGGATTAAATGAGTAAAATGTAAGTGCTTTGCAAACTATAAAGGGCTATATGAATGCTGGCTATTATTATTATTATTATTGACTAAATCATTTGTCAAGTGCTTTGCAAACTTTAAAAGGCTATATAAATGCTAGTTATTATTATTGTTATGGACTAGATTATTTTCAAAGTCCCTTCCAATTCTAAAATCCTATGATACTTTGAACTCTAACAGGTTATCTTCCTTTGGTACATTGATGGATTCCCCTGGGGGAAGGCCTGTCACTTACTGTCCCTGTGACTTTAGAGAACTAGTCACTTCAATTTTCGGGCCCTCAGCTTCTTTATTTGTTAAGTGAAAGATCTGGGCTGGATAATTATTTAAGCTTCTAGAGCAACTTAATATGTCATTAGACAATGATGACCCCTTAAGTCCCTTTCAATTCTAAAATTTTACCATCCCCTGAATTGTAACAGGTATCTCCCAGCTTCCTTTGGCTGATGGTGGGGGAAGGGGGGAAGCCCGACTTACGAGGGGGTTGGACTAGAAGACTTTGAGGTCCCTTTCAGCTCTAAATCCTGAGCCAGGTCTGAGTGGCAATGGGAAGGTAAGGAAGGGACTACTACCCTCTTTCCATTCCCCAAAAGGTACACAGTTCTTCCTTCCCAAGGTCAGCCACTCTTCTCTTCCCACCTCCTGGAACTCCAGGAAGAAGTAGGTTGGAGGGACTGGCTGGGGTATGAGATGGTGAAGATGGAGGGAGTTGGAGAGAAGAGGCCAGGGGATGAAGCTAACTCTGAACTCTCACTCTTAGAGGATTAAAAAAAAAAAAGCAAAACACCTTCACCCCACCCCCACTTTTAGAAAGGAGCCCTTAATACATTATTCATTGGCCAGAAACAGGCTGCAGCCAAAGTGCTGATGTCAGGAAGGAGTCAGTTCAGCAAGCAAGATCAGCAGCAGCCCCAGCAGCGGCAGCAGCAACATCCCCAGCGGCGGCAGCAGCAGCAGTAGCAGCAGCAGCAGCGGCAGCCGCCTCCCTCCCAGTTGCATCCAGAGTCCTGGCTATCGCCGGAGCTTAGCTGGGAGAAAGAGCCAGCGTCGGGGTGGGGGGTCGGGGGCCAGCATGCTGCTCGGCTGCGGCTCCGGCTCCCACACCCGCCGCTTCAGTCCCTCGAAAAGCAAAGGCGGCGGCAGCAGCAGCAGACACAGTGTGAGCGGGCGCGGCTGCAGCGTCCGCAGCCTCCTGAGCGGCGGCAGCGCCCGGGCGCAGGGGCCCTCGGCCGGGCTATGGTTGTGCTGAGGGGCTGCTGCGGGGGCAGCAGCGGCGGGTCGCTGCTGCTGCTGCTGCTGGCCGCCGCGTGTCTGCTGCAGCGCGCCCAGGTGAGGCGGCTGGTCCGCTGCCCGGCCACTTGCAGCTGCACCAAGGACTCCATCATCTGCGTCGGCTCCTCCTGGGTGCCAAGGATCGTCCCGGGTGACATCAGCTCCTTGTGAGTGGAACCTCCTCTTAACTCCCTCCTCCCTCTCGTCACCCCGACTCCCTCCTCGGGGACTTGCCTCCTGCGCGAAGGTGCCTCGGGACCAGACCCCCAACCTCTCCCCTCTTTCTTCCTCCTTTTCTCCTCTCCCCACCCCTATTGCCTTTGTTTCTTCCTTTACTTTCTGTGGGGGCAGTGGGTCGTGGATCGGGGGGTACGCTGGAGATTGGCTGGGGAGAGGGCGTGTGGAAGGAGGGAGGAAGAAGAAGGACGCTGGGGGTGGGAAGGCCCCCCGGGTAAGGGGTGTGTGTGTGTGTGTGTGTGTGTGTGTGGGTAGGTGGGTGGGTGTGTGGGTGTGGGTGTGTGGGGGTGTGGTGAGTAGCTCTTAATGCTTGTGTGGAAGCCTAAAGGTGATTACATCCTTCAGTTGCCAAAGGTTGGTTAGAAAGCCCTCAGAGTGCCCTGAAGTATATTCTTTCACGTCGGGGTGGGGTACACCTGAAGGGGCTGGGGAACGTGGAGTAGTAAGTGGCCAAGTGTCCAGGTGGAGTGCTGACTTGCCGCCTTTACCAGGGTTTGTCCATTTCTTCAAACCAGCTCTTGAAGTTGACTGCCTTTCCTGGGCTAGAGAAACTTGGTGGCTTTTCTCCACCTCCTTGGCAGGGTTGCGTTCAGTCTCTTGAATACAATGATCTCAAGTCCCATAGGTACCGGTGCCCAGTGGTTATGAACAAGTATCCCCTCAGGACTGAGGATAATTTCCTGCTCAAAAAGCTTACTTGACAAAGGGCCAGTGAACCTTGGATAGGGGCTGAATCAGAGAGATAGAGGCATCTAGGGATGCCGGACTATCAATGCACAGCATACCTTCCCTTGCTCATGGAAGAGGTCCCCAGCATGAAACTGAGCACTAAGGTTTTTCAAGTTTGGATAATATGTCAGCTAAGGTGTTTCTTCCTCTGACCGGTGTTGGGCCAGTGAGAGCACAGGCCTGTTGTGATGGGCAATCTTGACCAACTTCTTTAAAGCTGACTGTGACCCCTGACTCTATCACTTTGGGTTCTTCATATTGTCAGGTTCTTAACAGCTTCTCCGAACTGCAGGTGAGGAAGGATGCGGTAGGGTAAATAAGGGACTAAGTCAAGGTCACCAGGTGATCAAAATGGTCTCCGGACTTAACATGGGCTATTTTACCTAACAGTTTTGCCACCCACAGCACACTCCAGTTCAGGTGACCTTTGCCCTTTCCAAGCTTTCATGGCTTAGTTTGACCATGTTTCTTCATTTAATTAACTGTACTTTCAGCATTCTTCAAATCTTTTCCCCGAGAAGCAGTACTTGCTGCAACTCTGGAGTTTTGCTATTTACTAACATTAAGATTGAATGGAGAGGCAGGATGTTGAACTGGCCTAGGAGCCAGGAAGACCTGGATTGAAGTCATACCTCCAACATACTGGCTGTGTGACCCTGGGCAAGTCATTTAACCTCTCACTGTCCTAGGAAACTTTCTAAGACTATAATTTGCAGAGATGCCTTGGTAATAAAAGTGTCCTTACTCAGGAGATCCCTGTACCCAGTGTTAACATGGGTTCAGTCTCTATCTCTTGTCTAATATATGAAAGGGATCCTGCCAAAATAGCATACCTGACTGGGAGTCTGAAAAACCTGAGTTAAATTCCGGACACACAGTCCTGCTGTGTAAACATGGGCCTGTCCACTTCACTTCTCTGCCTCTCTTAGGAATTGGTCTTAAATAGAGGGAGTTCAGATGCCATATTTTCCTGCACTATAGAAATCATCGGTCCCCCACTGAAAGTTTGTAGCTATACAAAGAAATTCAAGGGCAAGATTGAAGCAATTATCTAGATCATTTCACCTCAGCCCTAGAAGATTGGGAAGTTGGCTTGAATCAAGCAAGATTTGGTTTTCTAAGCTTTAATCAAATTCACCACCTCTTTGCTTGCTTTTCTGTTTTCCTGCTGCATCTGAGGAGACATAGGCCACTTCTGTGTAGCCCACCCTCTCTAAGGGAATGTCAAGAATGTCCTCACTGCACATCAGAAGGAAATGAGGCAGAGGTGGTAGTAGCTGGGAGTGGTGGTGGTGATGGTGGAACAAACTGCCTGTACTGCCCAGCATGTTTTTGGGGAATGCTAGAATTTGTTCTTGGGGTTTGTTGGCCTTTTTCTTCCTCCTTTTAGAAGCCTGGTAAATGGAACATTTTCTGAAATCAAGGACCGAATGTTTTCTCATCTGCCTTCCTTGCAATTGCTGTAAGTATGAAAATGTCCCAAATACATTTATTGTTCCCTCTTCAATCCCTGCCCCTGTGTTGCCCTCTCCCTCTCTCCTCTGGTGTTCAGCACCCATGAATCAAACCGGCTTAAGTTGACAAGTAGAGTCTGTGTACAGCATGTTCTCTATGATCCCTTTCATTCCTTCCTTCCTTGGGGCCACATGAATTTGTTTAGAACTGTTTTTTTGTCCCTCCCCCCTTCGTTATAGATCTTTACTCCAATGTTTTCTTCCTTAATCTGCCCCCAAATGCCTCAAGCAGTAATGTGCACATTGAGAAGGGAAAGTCAAAAGGAGGCTTTAGTGTGACCTACAAGTATGGTTTCCTTACTCTCTAACTTTATATTTTAGATCTCTGTGTTGGAGTGGGCTGAAAGGCCATCTCTGAGAGCCTTCTGTAAATGGTGGAGTTATATCCAGTCTGGGGGAATAGCCTTATTGAAGGATTCCTGGAGGCCCCGCTGTAAATCTCCTGCCTTGTTTTCTCATGCCCCTCCCATCCTCTTGGGCTCACTTACGTTGTTATATACCCATAACTAGTGTAAAATTGTTTATGGGCCTGGTCAATGCTTATCTAGGGACTACACATTATACCCAGTACTGTGCTCTGGTACGCACTTTGTGTTGTTTGGTGCTGAAAACTTTTTAAAGCAACTAGAATAACTTTCAAGAGTACATTAAATACAAATGTAATCTCTGGTACACACGTTTGTTGTGGCCAGTAGCTTAAAAATTGAGAAGGAAAGAAAACTAAAATAATGAACCCTGGCATCTTACTCTTGATAATTCTAATGAAAATGTCTTATCTTTATAGATAACTTAACATTTTACAAAGTATTTTACGTACTCTATTTGATATTAAAATGGCCAGATCTTAAGAAATGGAACAAAGGCATTAATCATGGATGAGTATAAGTTAGTGATTTAATGTTGCATTCTGATTTTTTTTCATTTTCTTTGGTCATGAATTCTTAATTTGGTAGTCACTAGTTGTCATACCTTATCTAGGTATATATACACATTTGTAAAATGCTTCACAGTTTGCAAAGCAGCAGTGTGGGGAACGATAAATTTGGAGTCAGAAGATACATATTTAAATCCTGACTCTGCCACTGACTAAATGACCTGGATCTCACCACTGAACATATTAGTCCAGTTTCCCTGTGAAAAATATGAATAATAACATGTCCAATATGAACATGTGAGGCTCAGAGGAGGTCTTATATACAAAGCTGTATGAATGTCAGCTATTACTTAACTTGAGAGGAACTTAAGTAGGGAGTTTACAGTGGAAAGTGCATTGGCTTTGAAGTCTGAGGGCCAGCTGAAGGCCTGAGTTCAAATCCCATTTTTTTTACCTGTGTGACCTGAGGAAAATCACTTACCCTTTCTGGACCTCAGTTTTCTCATCTTTAAAATGAAGGAGATGCGGCTAAATGGACTTAGCTTATCACATAGTAAGCACTTAATAAGTCAGCACACCAAATTAACAAGCATTTATTGAACTTTTACCTGGTTCCAGGCAGGCACTATGCTAAGTGAAGGGAACACAAATATGAACAGAAGGAAAGACAGTCACTGACTTCAAGGAGCTTACTTTCTAATAAGGAAAGCCAACACATAAAAGAAGCTGAAAAGGATGGGGGAGGGACAGAGATGAAGGTACCTGGTGCGAGGAGTGGGGGGGAAATTGGAGAGAAAGTCCAGGGAGTCTGAGTGCCTAGGAGAGGAATGAAGACCTGGTTGGCCTAGGCATTCTCTTTAAAATGTAGATTCTGGGAGGAAGAAGGCAACCAGAGGAAGAAGTCTTAGGGGTTCAGGGTACTTCCAATGAGAAGCCATTCCAGAATGCAGTGAGCTTACATGAGGTTTGTGGCATGGTGGAGAAAGTCCTTAGGAGGTAAGTCAGCAGTTTGTCCTAGAGAGGAATGAAGGTGTGTTTGGACTGATCATCTTCTTAAAATGGGGGTTCTGAGGGGATCTGGCTGATCAGAGAGAGAAGTTGCTGGAGTGGATAGTATTTCCAATGTGAGAAGGATTGTCCTGAGGACCATAAGGATCAATGTATGTAAAACACTTTATAAATATCAGACATTATTATTTATATCCATATGTCATTTGATCCCTGTGTGGGAGGTAGGGTAAGCATTATCTACTATCCCTATTTTGCAGATGAGGGAGACTGAGGCCCAGAGAGATTAAGTGTTTTTTTTTAAGTCACATAACTAATAACTTGAGTGACAGAGATGGTAAGTGCTTTACCCAAGGTTATACAGTTAATGTAGAGTTAAGGGACCCTAAATGTGCGTTCTTTATACTATACCATATTCTCTTTAGGTTACTGTTGTGGGTCTTGAAGGAAACTAAAACTCTGTGAAGTATTAAAGGAAACTAGGAAAAGAATGAATACATACTGATTTTCATCTTGAAATGTAAAAGAAAAGATATATCTTCCTGGAGAGAATATAGACTTTATGTATAGAAATAATTAAATCTGCAATTTAAAAAATTAATTACAACTTCAATTTTGTGTAGAATTTTTAAAAAAGCTTTTCTTTAATAAGGATAATTACCATATTTTCAGGTTGTATCCAAAATAGTTACACTGAGAACTAAATTCACCCTATTTGGGGTTTTCTTAGGAAAGGAACTGGAGTGGTTTTCCGTTTCCTTCTTCTGTTAATTTTACAGATGAGGAAACTGAGGTAAAAAGGGTTAATTGACTTGCCCAGGGTCACACTACTAGTAAGTGTCTGAGGCTGGATTTGAACTCAGGGAGATGAATCTTCCTGACTCCAGCCCCAGAACTCTATGCATTTCTCCACCTACATTTTTAAGTACTTTATTGTTTTGTACCCTTGTACATCCATTAGCTTAGAGTAGATGATCTTTAAACTCCCAGCTCTAAAGTCCCTGATTCTGTGCATGTCCTTTGATCTACATAATGACCTAGCGAAGTGGGCAGGAGTTATATTATCCTGAATTTGTATATGAGAAAACTGAGACCTAGAGAGATATATTCGCTGAAGTCACATAGTAAGTAGTGCAATGGGAATTAGTGCCCATGTCACTTCATTCCTCATCCAGATCTCTTTCCCCTACAGTTTAGTTGAATATGGTTCAATGGTGATTTTAAATAATGTTGAGGAACATCAGATAGTATTCAGTGAACAACTACAGGGTAAAGACATTCTATGATTAGCATTACTAGAAGAAAGGCCAATAAAAGAATCCAAGGGATTATTTTCAATCATTGATTTTTGAGTGTTGGGATTATCCTGCTGTTCCCAGGAAAATAGTATCTCTTGCTACCAAGTATGAGGTGACACAAGAATTCAACTGATTGGTCCAGTAGTAAGCAGAAAGGACATAACTGTGTTGTCACTAGGACTGTCTTTGGTTTTCCTTTCAGCTTGCTGAATTCTAACTCTTTCACAGTCATACGAGATGACGCCTTTGCTGGCCTCTTTCACCTAGAGTACCTGTAAGTTCCAATTTGTTGTTTGGAAAATTCAAGATACCCTGGAGGGTTGCTGGGGTCTGTCCTTTAGGGGAATTGTCTTCTGGGTAACATAGGAATGGGGAAGATGAAAAAAACTTTACCTTCTCATTTCAATGCTTTATTAGCTCCTACTTGTCTTTTCAAATAACATGAGGGCTGTAGTTACTATTTTAATTCAATTTAATTCAATGCAACAAATATTTATTAAGGACCTATATGATGTGACAAAATGCTCTGTGCTGATTCAAGGATGAAAAATGACATAATTCTTGCCCTCAAGGAGCTTATGGTCTTAAGAGAGGTATGTGATTAAGATAAAACTCTCTAATACAAAGTAGAATGTGATAGGGGGGGAAAGGGTAGACTCTGGTAAAATGTTCTTTTATAAATATGCTTTTTTGGGGGCATGTCATGGACCCCTTTTTGGCAGTCTGGTGTAGCCTAAATGACCCCTGCTCAGAATGATGTTTTTAAATAATTGAAGGAAACTCTAAATTTCAGTGAAATTTTTAGTGAAAATGAAGGTATAATTTTTTCCCTTCCAAGTTCACAAACTCCATGAAATCTACCCACAGTCCTCTTGAGGGAGGGAGTGGTATGTGGGGGGAGGTGTCTCAATAGAGCCCAGGTTAAAATTCCTTACCCTAAGGTAAATACTCCAAGAATAGGTGAAGAGGCAGAACCCTTTTTTTTAAAAGTTGGCTGGGTGGGGGAGGGGTGGAGATCAGGGAGGGTTTCATGGAGGACATGGCACCTTTGCTGGGCCTTGAAGGAGTAGTGAGTGAAGGAGAGAACAAAGAAGGAAGGCAAGAAGTGAGCAGAGAAGAGGGGATCCTTACCCAGTACTGGCATTTAGTTTGGAGGTAAGTATGCAGTAAGCACAAATGAAACTTCCTAGGTGGGCTATTTTTAACTCTCTGTAACTACTCAATGATTTGCTGATATCAGCTAGACATAGAGACAAAAGATGTGCAAGGCTGCCTCTTCCAGAGTCCATTAGCCCCATCTTTGTGGAAAACTTCACAGTCCTTGTTTTGATTATCCCTTGTCATCCTGTTTACTGTTTCTCCTGTGCTCTGCTTTTCTGGCTCTGCTAATTTTCTTCTACCTTTTCAGATTTATATCCTCTTGTCTGATTTCTACTTTTCCACCAAATTCCTGTTTCTTCTTTCCACTTTCATGTCTTTTCCCCTCAAGTCCTTTCATCCTGTAGTCTTTTAAACATTTTAATAACATTAATCCGGTTATCAGGATTGGTTTTCCCTATTTAGCATTCAAAGGGATTTTGAAAGCCTTGCCTATTTTCTTATCTGAAATCAACAGGTATATTTTAAAATTCGAAACACATGCTGGGTACAAGATAAGTCCCTCTGGAAGGAATGACTCTGCAAGAAATAATTTCCCTCATTCTATTTTCAGCATCAGAGATGTGATGTAACATGAATTCGAAGCTTCATCAGAGTCTGTGAAAGTCAGTGAGTGTGAGTGTGAGTGTGTATGTGTGTGTGCATGCAAAACTATTCATTTCACATCATACAAGGGGCACTTTGGAGACAGAATTAGAATAAGAAACTAGAACCTTGCAGAATTTCAAATAGCCCATACTGCAGATTGTTGTAAAATTTTCCAGTATTATTATTATTGTTGAAATTTTTGACATCACAAATCTCTGATTTTACAAGCCAAGCTCTCTATGTAAATAGTGAACATACTAGTGGGGTAGCATGGTAACATTCTTTTGCATTCAGTACTTTTCCCAAGACAGTAGTCTTGTTCAAGACAAAGTAATATGGCAAGTAAGTGCCATGGACTAAAATTTCAGTGTTAGAACACAAATCCCATGTGTTCCTCAGCAGCTCCATGGACAACATAATAATGTTAATGGAGACACTGTGTGGCATAATAGAGAGGTCTGGCCTCAGAGTTCACAAAGCCTTGGATTCAAAATCTGCCTCTGGTACATTCAAAGATGAGTCACTGACCTGTCTTGGTTAAGGGGACTCTCAAACTTATGAAATCCCAGATCCATATCCTTTCCCATCCAAAAATTAATGATAATGGTAACCAATAATAATGGTAATTTATATTTATATAGCACTTTTTCCTGAACAGTCCTGTAAGGTAGAGAAGGAAGCCATAATAACCTTCATAAGCCTCATAGCACCTTTGTTCCATAGAGTCAAAAGTTTAATAAGGGAGCCAAACATTTCTAGGCTAAATCACTTTTTTGCATAGGTGTATGAAGATGTTTGTCTCCTCCTTTATTTCTTTTTCTGGTGGTTTTAGGCTTTGAGAGCAACTTCATATGGTCTACTTGCTCAGGAGTACATGTACTAGTGATTGGGTCAAGCAATGAAAAGGTAGCCCCCTGGACCACAGAGTTGAAAGGTACCTCAGAGCACATCTGTTGCAGCTAAGGAATCCTTTCTGCACTCCACTTGACAAATGGTCATCCAGGTTTGGCAGGAAAAGCTCCAGTGAAACCAGATTCCTCATGCGGCAGCCTGTTTCACTTTTGGACAGCTCTAATTGGGAGACAGTTTTCCCTTCAGAGTGGGTTAAAATATGCCATTGATCCTAATTCTAGTAGAACAAGCCTATCCCCTTTTGTACTAACCAGCCCCTCAGATACTTGCTGGCAGCTCTCAATTTCCCCTACAACTCTTCCCAGCTTTCTCTTCCCCCTTCAGAACAGGCATGTCCAGCCCTTTGAGCATTCTGGTGACCCTCTCCTGGAGGCACTCCTGCAGTTCAATGCCCTTCTTTAAAGGTGGTGGTTAGAACCACACCCAATACTCTAGATGCTTTGTCTTTAACCAAGTTTCTAAGCAATTGCATCATTTAGGCCGAATAGTCATGTTATATTGCTGTTAACACTGGGTAAATTCAGAGCCACAGATAGAACCAAATTAAAATTCTGTATGTGTGTTGTTTATGTTCAGAAGAGGAATCAGATTTTATGATTTGAGTTGTACACAGCTGTTACTACTGCTCCTCAGTGAACACCTACTCCCTCTGTGGATTTTTCTTACTATACAGTTGGTAAATTGGGAAATGAGCTTCTTGTAACAAGAGTAGGTGACAGCTATATGCTTCATAGTTTATGAAGCACTTTATGAACATTATTTTACTTGATGCTACTGGCACCCATGAGCTAGGTAGGATAGATATTATTATGTTCTTTAAGAGAAGAGGAAACTGAAACACAGAGAGAAGTGACTTGCCTATGATTACATAGCCTTTTACTAGCCAGATCTTTTGGCTCCAAATTCAGTAATTTTTCTTCCACTATATCATCCTGCTTCTCAACTGTGGAACTTGAGAAAATCTGCCTTAAGGGATTTCTGAGTTACTGGTATGACTACAGGAGGCTTGGATACAGAATTTGTTCCCTGAATCATATTCCATATAGGAAAAATTCTGCATATTGAGTTTTTGTGCAACAAGAAGAGAAGAATCAAGTTCTTATGTTACTGTGTTAGCAATAGCTTGCTTCCTTCTTTAGCCACTGACGTAGCTGTTGTTCTGCTTAGCAAGCTGGATAAGTGACATGGACCAAAGGATACCTCCTATAAGATCATAAACTCCTTGTGGGCAGGAATAGTGTCTTATATACCAAAGGGGACTTCCTATTAGATCATAATCTCTTTGTGGACAGTGAGTTCCATACCAAGTGGGACTTCCTACTGGATCATAAGCATCTTGTGGGCAGGGATGGCATATTCTCTAACAAGTGGGACTTCCTACTAGATCATAAGTTTCTTGTGGGCAGGGATAGTGTCATTTGTAACAAGTGGGACTTCCTACTAGATCATAAATTTCTTGTGTGTAGGGATAGTGTCATTTGTAACAAGTGGGACTTCCTACTAGATCATAAGTTTCTTGTGTGCAGGGATAGTGTCATTTATAACAAGTGGGACTTCCTACTAGATCATAAGCATCTTGTGGGCAGGGATGCATATTCTCTAACAAGTGGGACTTCCTACTAGATCATAAGTTTCTTGTGGGCAGGGATAGTGTCATTTGTAACAAGTGGGACTTCCTACTAGATCATAAATTTCTTGGTGTAGGGATAGTGTCATTTGTAACAAGTGGGACTTCCTACTAGATCATAAGTTTCTTGTGTGCAGGGATAGTGTCATTTATAACAAGTGGGACTTCCTACTAGATCATAAGCATCTTGTGGGCAGGGATGGCATATTCTCTAACAAGTGGGACTTCCTACTAGATCATAAGTTTCTTGTGGGCAGGGATAGTGTCATTTGTAACAAGTGGGACTTCCTACTAGATCATAAGCATCTTGTGGGCAGGGATGGCATATTCTCTAACAAGTGGGACTTCCTACTAGATCATAAGTTTCTTGTGGGCAGGGATAGTGTCATTTATAACAAGTGGGACTTCCTACTAGATCATAAGCATCTTGTGTGCAGGGATAGTGTCATTTATAACAAGTGGGACTTCCTACTAGATTATAAGTTCTTTGTGAGCAGGGAATGGGTTCTCCCAAGTCTCTGACCTGACTAGTCTCTGACCTGACTATCTTCTGTTTTCTCTGTATATTCTCTCACTTGCTTTTTTTTTTGTCAGCTTCCATGGGTTCAATTATAATCTCTATGCTAATCTATATATCTAGCCCTAATCTTTCTTCTGAGCTCCAGTCCTTCGTTATCAGCTGCCAGACTGACATTTCAAACTAGATGCCATGTAGACATCTCAAACTCAATATGTCCAAAACAGAGCTTACTGTCTTTTCCCTCTAACCCCATTCCTCTTCCAGACTCCCTTATTACTATCGAGTACTGTTTTATCAGCCTTCCAGTCACCCATGTGTGCATTAGTAAGTGCTTAATGAATGGTTTTTAATTGATTAGTCAATTATAAAAAGATGTTCAATAAATATTTGTTGAGTGAATGACCATGGTTTCATTCCCTTCCTCAATCTCTTTTACTTCCTAGACACAACTACTTCCAAAATATTTCCTAGAAGAACACACATCTCTTGGTTAAATAATGGGAGTTAGGCACAAAATAAGGTTGTACAACATGCAAGTTTTTAATTTACATACAAATTTTTAGGGAATAATTTATTCCAAATATTAAGTGATATCTCCTTTTTGTCAAAAGCAAGCCATTTTCTACCACTCTTCTGGAATAAATGCTTGAACAGGGGATGCATTTCCATAGAAATGCCCATAGAGCCATTCAGTTCAATAAACACATTCACTGTCTAGTACGTGCAGGGCATCTACTAAATCTCTGGTGCTGCAGACACAAATATAGATCTAAGACAATCCCTGCTCTCAGAGAGTTTACCTTCAGATGAGAAGAACGAGGGCACAGTAACTGTGATACAAGAGAGAATGAAATAAGTGTAAAGGAGATGGCCAGACCAAGTGCTGTGAAAAATTTGAGGAGGGACAGATCATGTTCACCTAGGGGGTGGTTATGGAAGTCTTCATGGAGGAGTTGATATCTCATTTGGGCTTTAAAGGAAGGAAGGGACTTCAATAAATGAAGATGAAGGGGAGAGAGGGGAGAGGAGGAATGACTTTATTCTAGGTATGGGATGGGGCAGTGTGAACAAATTAAGAGGTTTGCTAGAACAGAACATGATGAGAATAGTGGACAATGGTAAGTAGTCGTAATTTAGCAAGAATAAAAACTATGTGAAGGAAAGTAGTATGAGAGAGGGTGGGAGGACCTAGTTAAAGCTTGAGGCAAAGGGCATTGAATGCTAGCCAGGAGTTTAGACTTTATTCAGCAATCCACTGAAGGTTTTAAGTAGAGAAATGATGGAGCTATAATGCATTAAGAAGATGAGTCAGGTGCTGCAGTATGCATGGATTGGATAAGGAAGAGACTGAAGCTGGAGAACCAATTAGGAGGCAATTATAATAGTCTAGGTATGAAAAGATGAGGCTCTGGACTAGGACTGAGAACCTGTATGCAATCACTGAATTGTCTTAACAGTCAGAGATATTGGAACATAAGTGGATTTTGCAGGGGAATGGGGGTGGGGGTGGGAGGCAGGGCGCAGGGAGGGTACCTAGAAATGTTCTAATATTGTTATAACGATTCTCACGTATATAAGGAGCATTGTTATTTTCAAAGCATTCTTATTTACATTGTCTCTAGCTCTCAGTGCTTTAATGCCACTATTAAAAGGAGTGTACACACACACACACACACACACACACACACACATACACAGACACACACAAAATCACATTAACTTATACTCATAATCTCCTACCCTGCATTGAGAATTCCTGGTACATAAATTGGCATTCTTCAAAGATGTTTTTTATTCAGTTGTGCTTTCTGAGATTGGTCAGGGACCACCATGAAAAATAATTTTTAAAGTGTTAAGATGACAGAATGTAGCTAACGATGCTTGCTTTTCTTTGTAGATTCATTGAAGGAAACAAAATTGAAACCATTTCAAGAAATGCATTCCGTGGGCTCCGTGACCTGACTCACCTGTAAGTCCTTTAAACTGTGTTGGGGACCATTGATGTGCTGAGCGAGATGCATCTTGCTGGGCATTTCTTTGTTCACTTGGTCAGTTATTACTGTGTGGCAGTACTCCCTCAAAGAATCCAGTTTTCACTCAGTCAGAGGCATTCCTCAATCGTTTATGACACGCCTGCTAATTTGTATCATTCTCCCTTTTCCACCATTCTCTGATCTCCAGTTTTTACCACTGTTGTGCCTGTTCTTTTTTTTTTTCATTGTGATTGATCACTTTTGTGCACCAACATTCTTGCAAAGTCAAAGTAAACTTTGGGGAGGGAGGTAGCCTATTTCTAAGTGAAGGGGGTAAGAACTGGAAGGTTGCCCTTTTCAGTGGAAATAGAACCCTGAACCAGTTCAATGAATAATTTTTAATTTAGCCAAATTAGTAGAATTTTTACCACTGAAAGCAATCTTAAAGATGATCCAGCCCATTCCCTTCATGAGAAAACAAAGGCCCCCAAAGTTATGACTTCTCCAACATCAAAGAATGAGTAGGTCTTTTATAACTCTCCACCCTGAACTCCTTTCTCTTATACCATGGTACATTTTAATGATTTCTTTAATTTGAGTGCAAAAAAATTTTTTTAATGTGGAATTAATCTGTGACTTGAGTTATAGCTCCTTTACTGACCTTTTTCTCTAAAAAAATTTGCAGATTGATTTGACTTGATACTTCAGAATGAGGCAAAACACCTCTTTTTTGTTAGAAATTCACAAAAACTCTAAATAATCATGCATTTCTGAAAATGCAAAAATATCCCATTGTCTTTGGTTAGTTAGAAACCAGGGCAAGTCCATATAAAAAAAGCATCCTGTGGTATTTAAAGAGGGTAACATTGCCCAACAATAACCAACTGTATGTAATGAAAAGAAAATTTAAAGGGGGAGATGTTGTGGAGAAAATACTCTTTAAAAATATATAGCTATCTTAATAGAAATTGGTTCCAGCTAGGTCCATTAGAATGAATAGATTGTCCTCATTGTCGAGTACTTTTAGATAAGCAATTTTAGAGGTCTGCCTAGGGTAAAAGAATACTGAGGGAATGAGAGAGGTTGAGAGAGTGAACTCAAAGTTAGGAAAAACATCTTTATGAACACAGGAATTGAACCTAGAAACTCCTCTGGAGGTCTCAGTTGGGTTGACATTATTTTTCCCAGATGACCTTCCTTCTTCCAGGGCCCTGAATCTTTTCAAAGTCAACTCCTGTGTCAAGTTCCTATATCCTATTGCCTTCCTTATTCCATAAAGAAGTTTGGATCTCCTCCATGAAATTGCAATCTGAATTAAGCATGCTCAGCCAAAGCAGTTTTGTTGGCAAGAACAGGTTTTGATAAGCAAACAATTCTGAATAGCTGGCAAACAGCAGTTACGAACAGACAGTCCTGGTGTCCTTAAATGAGGAAGAAGGTAGTCTTCAAGTGGAGGCTAGATAACTATAGATCATGGAATGGTTGTGCTAGAAGGGGTCTTAGAGATCATCTAATCCCATTTTCTCATTTTACTAATGAAAAAAGAGGGGTTGTTTTTGTTTTTGTTTTTGCCCTGGCTATATATAGATCATTAATGAAGGTTATGGCTATTTGTCTGGCTGATTTGGGCCAGACTGAAAAGCCTGGTTGACCCATTTACCTATTTACTCACTAATGTGGCCTTGGTGTTTAAACAGAAGTGAATTGAGCCTGTAGAGAAAGTGTGCATGCATACATGCATTCGTGTGTGTGTGTGTGTGTGTGTGTGTGTGTGTGTGTGTGTGTATGAAACCAAGAAAAGTTTATTGTCTCTTTGGGGTTCATGCTCCTATAATTTTCCAGTGTTTAACTGGGGGTTGGTTAGGTATTTCACAAAGGATGCAGTAAATTCTTTCATTACTAAGTGTAGTTTCCAGCATAGAAAACATAGCTTCCAGGGGCAACTAACTTCCTCAGGGAATCGTTTGCAACTGGAGATACCTGGTTCAACAATCTGTGAACCAACATGTATTTATTGAGCACATGCTCATCACTTTGCTAGACACAGTGAAAGATAAAGAAATACATCCTTAAAGAATTTACTTCCTAGTTAAGGGGCAAGGTTAACACACATGAAAGAGCAAAAAACAAAAACAAAAACAAACAAACCTGCAAGGCAGTCTGTAATTGACAACTAAATGGTGTATGTGCTATAGAGGAATTCAGGGAAGAGAGAGCTCAGGGAAGGCTAGATTAGAGCTTCCTGGAAGAAATGGGACTTTAGCTGGGTCTGAAGGACAGGTAGAGTTAGATGAGCTGAGGGGTGAAGATGAAATAAGACAATCCTTGTCCCCAAGTAGCTTATATTCTAATGGTGAAGGAATAGGAAGAGAAGAGAAGATAGGAACACCAATAACTTGTTTTTAGATTTTCAGTCCAGGTACCCTTCCTGTTCTTCTCTTTTCCTTGTTTTTATCATAGTCAAGAACAACTCACTCAAAGAATTCCAATTCCAGCTGCCATTTATGCACAGATTTTCAGCAGTGCAGATGGAACCTCTCTTTGCTCTGGTGTGGGGGGAACAGAAAATGCAGAAATTTGTAGACAAACCTTGGGATAGAAAAGGTTGGGAGGCTCCAGTCACTAACGTGGCCCTGGCCCTGGGCAAGTCCATATACAAATGATCACACTTGTCACCAGACACACAGTACAATAGAAAATGTAAGGGAATGTGTAAGACACTGTAACAGGTACAAGGGGCACTAAAAGGGATGAGCTGTAGCCCACACCTTTGTTGCTCTACATATGTATATACGAGATGTATATAAAGTGATGGGACTAAAAATAAAACAAATGGAGTTGTGATTTCAGATAGGTATCATCATTCTAAGTAGTGCCCTTGGAGGTTATACATTTATTCTGGTAATGTTGTCATTGCAGAAAGAAGTTTTCTGGTTCCTCTTTTGGAGTAGCCTTCAAAGGTCATTTATGAAGCATGCAAACAACAACAAATCCAATGCCTCATGACTTTATTTCTAATGTTATAATTACATTTTGTCTAACCCCAAATGGCTATATACAAGTTTGATTTGCACCCTCCCATTCATAAAATTTGGTTCCAAATGACTTCTGGCTATTGCTGAGAATCAAATCCATCCTCAAGGGTTAAATATTGTGATACCCTCCCCTGCCCTCCCCTGCACTGTCCCATGATGATACTCAGTAGAATATACTATAGGCTTGAGGGTATTTCTTAATGAAGAATTTTTAAAATGTTTTGTTCAATGGCAGTAAGGTTAAAATTAATAATAACAATAATAGCAATAATTCACATTTCTATAGTGGTATGAAGTTTATAAAGTGCTTTACTCACAACAGCCAAGATGTAGGAAGTGTGGGTATTGTTCCCATTTTGTGGATGAGGACACAGATGCCCATAGGTGTGAAGGGACCTTAAATGTTAAAACTGATTAGACCCAGGTCTCCTGACTCCAAATCATAAGCTCATTCTACTACATCATGAATAATAATAATAGCTACCATTTATATAGTTCTTTGGGATTTCAAAGCACTGCATGCATATTATTTCATTTGAGACAACAATTCTTCGAGGTAGGTGCTTCGAAGGTAAGAGGTTAGGTGACTTACCCAAGGTTACACAACCAGTAAATGTCTAAGGTTATATTTGAACTTGGGCCTTCCTGCCTCCAAGTCTAGCTCTTTGTCCAATATACTCCCTAGCTTCTTCAAAATAAGAATAAGCATAAAGCCACCCTAAGTGACTATTTTGAAAGTACTAACACTCATTTGGATAAGTAACTTTGGGTACATGTGGTTTTTTTAAAAAGTTACATTTCTTTTTTTGGATAACTTTTGCATTCTAAATTTAGTGACTATCAAGGTATAAAATGTTCAAATCAATAAGCAGAGTTTAAAAATGAGATGAAAGCCATAACCTGCAAAAAATTATAATTTTTAAGTGTATATTAAATTTGGCAAAGTAAGAACCAAATGAACCCTCATTTGCTTCCACATCCTGATATCTTTATCTTCTTAGTCCTGTTTCCTTGTGGTCATGTGTTTTCCATGTCTATCTATACATACACACACACACACACACACACACACACACACACACACAGAAACGCACACACAGATATCCCAACCTCATGGAAGCCTGGTTTTTACTCTAGGCAGGAGTTGTACTAAGTAACTTCTAAAGTCCCTTTGAACTCTTTAATGCTGAGGAGATTCCCAGATGTCTTAATTGACTCTGCTCCTCTGACCAACAGTGCTCATTGTCTGGAGTTTGTTCAGTACCAGTCAGTTCCATATTACACCTTAGTGAACCTCAACAGCATCCACATACTTTGACCTCAAACTTGTAGTGTACACAGAGAAACACAAATCGTGTTTTAAAGTATGGAAGGGACATTGCCACTCTGTGACTCTCATTGAGGGCATTTGCTTTCTCCTAAGCTTAATAATCCTGAAGGACACAGAATCTTAAATGGTTATTTCATTTCAGAAATAAAATAAATGACATGGTTTTCAATTGAAATGGAGAGTCAATGACTTACTGGACAAATTGTTTTTCCTTTCTAACCTTTAATGTGAATTAAGTGATTTCTGAGGTCTCCTCTAGCTTTGGATTTGATCGAGGTAGACAATCTAGATAATTTTGGCAATAGGATTTTGGTGGGCAGGTTATATTACCAGATATGTGGGGTAGTTGCTGTTTTGGTTTGACCTTAGCTCCTCAGAATGTTCTTACTATCGTAGGACTATGAAACCTCAACTGGAACCCAGCTTAGCCCTACCTTCAGTCAGCTGAATTTCCCAAGCCCTGAGTACTTTTACTTTCAAGAGAAAGAGAGCAATTACCACCCTGGGAAAATTGTCCATATAAGGGATTTAGGTGTTTAAAAAGCATCTTTTGGGTGTTTGGGCCAGACTGAAAAGTCTAGCTGACCCAGTTACCTATTGACTCACTTATCTGGCCTTAAAGTACAAGTTCTGGTGTTTAGACAGAAGTGGAATGAACCTGTAGAGAAAGTGTGCATGCATATGTGCATGTGTGCATGCATACGTGCATTCGTGTGTGTGTCTGTGTGTGTGTGTGTGAGAGAGAGAGAGAGAGAGAGAGAGAGAGGGAGGGAGGAGGGAGGGAGAGAGAGAGAGAGAGAGAGAGAGAGAGAGAGAGAGAGAGAGAGAGAGAGAGAGAGAGAGAGAGAGAGAGAAACAGAGAGAAGCTTGTTGTCCTTTGGGGCCATGCTTCTATAATTTTCCAGTGTTTAACTGGGGGTTGGTTAGGTACTTCACAAAGGATGCACTAAATTCTTCCATTACTAAGTGTAGTTTCCAGCATAGAAAACATAGCTTCCAAGGGCACCTAACTTCCCCAGGGAATAGTTTGCAACTGGGGATACGTGGTTCAACAATCTGTGAACCAACATGTATTTATTGAGCACATGCTCATCACTTTGCTAGACACAGTGAAAGATAAAGAAGTACAATTAGACACGGTCCTCATCCTTAAAAAAATTTGCTTCCTAGTTAAGGGGCAAGGTTAATACACATGAAAGAGCAAAAAAACCCAAAACAAAACTGCAAGGCAGTCTGTAATTGACAACTAAATGGTGTGGTTTAGACTGTATGTGCTATAGAGGAATTCAAGGAAGAGAGAGCTCAATGAAGGCTAGATTAGAGCTTCATGGAAGAAGTGGGACTTTAGCTGGTTCTAAAGGACAGGTAGAGTTAGATGAGTTGAGGGGTGAAGATGAAATAAGACAGTCCCTGTCCCCAAGTAGCTTATATTCTAATGGGGAAGAAGGAACAGGAAGAGAAGAGAAGATAGGAACACCAATAACTTGTTTTTAGGTTCCCAGTCCAGGTACCCTTCCTGTTCTTCTCTTTTTCTTGTGTTTATCATAGTCTCAATAAACTTTCTACTTTCTACCTATACAGCAGTCTTTTGTGTTCAGAATGATACTGAGTTGCTTAGAGATCCTGAATCATGAGGAAAAAACCAGCTGTGGCTGTTATAGATTATTTACTCAGGTTGGAAAGTGAAGTAATAAATTTCAATTTGTTCTTATTTTAAAATTTTGATACTTTGGGTGTTGATACAGTAGCTATATCCTAGCAAACCTGTGAACCCCTACCCCAGGCAAAGTACATTCTTTGAAAAGTATTAAGTGGAAACCACCCAAAAAGAATGATTTTAATCAACAGCATATGTGGATTTCCACTTTTGTAATTTATGTGTAGCAGAAAAGAAGGATGCCTGCTTCAGCTTTAATAATTTGGTGCCAGCATCATCCGTGGTTCAACTTGAGTTTTGTGGCTGTTGGTCGCATCTTCATTTACATTGTTATCATTGTATGTATTCTGCATTTGGTTTTGCTTTCTTTACTCACTTCATCCAAGGGTTATCACATTTCGTTGACTTTTACATATTTCTTGTTCCCCATGGCCTAGAATTATCCCATTATATTCATAGAGCCTATACTTGGTTCAATTAGCCACTAATATTTACACTCATGATTTCTTTATTGCTTTTTTGATATTAACAAATAGTGCTGCTATGAATATTTTCATACAAATGGGTCTTTTCATGCTGTCAGTGACCTCCTTGGAGGTGCAACCCCAGTAGAGGGTTTATCAAATACGAACCATTTAGTAACTTTTTTCATAATTTCATTTCCCACCTCCCAAAAGTTTGGATCAATTTATAGCCTGACCTGCAGTGAATACATTAGCATAGTTTAGAAAGATTTTTTAAAAAATAAACTTTTATTGATAACCTTTTTATGGTGCCTAAATTTTATCTTATATCCTTACAAGGATGCAGTAATATAAGGAGAAATTTAGGCAATATAAAAACTTCCCCCCATTCCAGAGAGCTATGCCATATAACAAATTAAAAAGAAAGAAAAGAACAAGATGAGGAAGAAGAAAAAAAAATCAGCAAAATGATCAATACATAAAAAAAAAAATCTGACAACATATGCAATGTTCCACATCCATGGACTCTCCCCCTCACCTTAGCAAAGTAATGAGGGGAGGTGTCTAGAAAGATTTTTTTTAAAACAATGAGTTGAAAAAGAAAGGATATCCATTTAATCTTGGCTACTTCAATTTTTCACAGGTTCCATGATCCCACCAATGTGGGATCTAACCTATACCTTCACATTGATTGATTTTTTTCCATGCCTTCCCATAAATCCTTGGAAAAGGGTCCACCAAGTATTCTGGGTGAATGGGGAACTGGAATGCCTTCACACAGGTATCAGTGCAGTCCTCAGGCTGTTCATTTGATGTACCTCACTCTCACTACAAGACTGACCCATTTCCTTTTCCAGTCATAGAATGACTGGATGACTTTTGGATGATATCTCTTCTTCTATGCAAACCATTGTTGGTTATATGTTATAGTCCACTTGTCTTTCCATTGTCCTTTGTGTCACGCCCAGTTTTGATTCTTCAAAGATTATTTGTAGTCCTATAGCCTTACTGGAGGATTCACTTTTTGGTGTTAAAAAGATAAATTTTTGTTTCAGAGAGAAGCTTGGGGTTAGTAAAAGCACTGTACAACTTCCTGGATTCCTCCTGTTTCCCATACTAAAAATCAACTTTTGGTTAATGAGAAAATAATTGCTTACAACAGGCTGTTCTCTGAAGAGCCCAGGTCATTGGGTGTCTACTAAGATTTAGTTTCTTTACACATGCAAACCTTAGAAACCAAGACATAAAAATGACTTTGCAACCAGGTACCTTACTGAGTCCTTTCTTAAAGTCCTTTCTTGTATCTATTCTCAAGTATTAAAATGATTATGGATGGACCATGTATAATTCCTTGAAGGATGGAGTGATGTCATATAATCATAGAATATTAGTGTTGGAAAAGACCTTAGAGGTTATATACTCCAGTCTGTCATTTTATAGATGAGGTTTTTTTTTTACAGATGAAATACTTTATACATCATTCTTGAATTAAAGAGGCAGATGTCTAATATTGCTTAAAGATTTCAATCGTATATTATCATATAATTGTTAATTATTGTCTTAAGAATCCAGACTCTAAAATACAGTCTGACTAGTCGTGCTTTTTCTGTGTGTAACTAACTAATTTCCTAACCCCAGCATCCACTGACAAAGTTGAATATTTCTGAGTTGAAGGCAATAGGTCTTTATTTTACATCATTAGCTTTATTTAAGTGATTTTAGAATGAAGAGGAATAAAGTTAATAACCATATTGAAATGTAACTTTCTCCTTCCAGTTCTTTGGCCAATAACCACATAAAAACACTTCCAAGGGATGTCTTCAGTGATTTAGATTCGCTGATTGAACTGTAAGTAATGCAAACCACATTTATATTGGCTTGCCATTATGGTCCAGTTAATTGTGCACTTTAAATGTTTTCCCCTCTCCTCTTTTGTTTGCATTCTCGCTGAAATCTGTGATAAAAGTAGGGTAGATTGTGTTATTCGTATGTATGGTGTGTGTACAGTGTACCTTGTGTTAGCTTTTGTAGTTTTCAAATGCATTTTTTATTAAGTTAGACTCTGAAGGTGGGCCCTTCTGCTCTAACTCCCCACCCCCATGGCTATTGGCTATTACATATTTTATGGTGTTTGTCAGTTTTTGTTTTTGGCCTGGCTTGGTATAGACAACCCAATGTTTCAGTTGTGCTTGTGAAATATTTTCCTGTTATGTCCTGTTTGAGTGGGTGAGAACCCGTATCAATAGGATGCTTATACCAAACTTGTTTTGCATGGAACAGTGACGATTTCAATAGTGTTTGAAGAGAGGGTGATACATCATCCTGATTGAGTTTTTCAGCCAGCAACAAGTGCTCTCTCTTTACCATAAAACTAAAATCCTGAACCCAGAAGACCTTTAAATAAAATTGTTGTGACAAGTGAAAAGAAGTAGGTTGCAATAATTGGGAAATTTCAAAAACCAGATCCAATGTCTTGGGGAATTAAATATATTAGGGTACTAACAGTGCTACTGTTTTGCATTACTACCAACCATTTCAAACATGTCTATTTCTGTGTGTTTTTTTAGAGATTTAAGGGGCAATAAGTTTGAGTGTGACTGCAAAGCCAAGTGGTTGTATTTGTGGTTAAAGATGACAAATTCCACTGTTTCTGATGTCCTGTGTATTGGTCCACCAGAATATCAGGAAAAGAAGTTAAATGATGTGGCCAGTTTTGATTATGAATGCACCACTACAGGTATTCAGAATGTATCTTTTTAACCACACCATAAATGATTGAAGATTCATATTTAGAACCATTTCTTTTTTTATTCTCTGCTAGAATGTCTATGGGGAGTGGAACAGAAGCTTCAAAGGGGAGACCTTCTATTAAAATTATTTAGGAAGAATTCACAGTTCTAGATGAAGTTAACACAATAGGGTAAAGAAAAAGAACTGGAGGTGAATTTTTATTCTGAAAGAATATTAAAACAGCCAGGGAATTAAAATTCCATTAGGTCTAATCATGATCTTCCCTATGATTCCTATTTCATTAGTCAGCCCTTTAACTCAATAAATCAATCAGGCAGCTCTTTGTGAAAGGGTATGGTTAGGTAAATTGCAATTAGTGTTAAAATAGAAAGTGGATCAACAATGAATGTTTGTACATCCAGGGGGAAATTTTTTTTTAAAGACAATTTGATTTTTTTCCCCAAAAGTAATATCCTGAGAATAACCTCAAGGTTCCAGTTTATGTTTTTTTTGAAGGTTGTCAGATAACAAAATTAAAATATTAACTGCATGGAATAACACAACAAAATATCAGTTATATGTCTTCAAGATGAAAAGATCTGAGTTTTTGCCACTTTTAAGGCAAGCTTTAAAGATAAAGTGAATCAATAAAGGAGTGCTATGAAAGTTGCTTACCAAATATATAAAAATAAGCATTCAGATTGATAGTTGATATCTCCAAAGCCCCAGGGCATGCTAAAGGAGAAGCAACGAGAATGAGGAATGCAAATTCAAGGGGAAAAAAAGTGAAACTAGGTAGTCAGAGCCAAAAACCTACAACAGAATGTTGGAGACTTCCCTGGGGATCATCTGGGAATTATGCACAGGAGGAGATGGAGGCTCAGAAAAGGGAGGGTGATTTGCCCAGATTCACATAGTAAGTGACAGAGCCAGTACTCGGACCCATTTTCTGGATTCATACCCAATCAAAGCTTTTTCCACTGTACCATATTCTGGCATTTGTTATTTCAGGGTCCATTGAATGAAAAAAACAAACCAACCACGAGGTGAAAATGATTTTTTTTTTAGAATTTGACCTTTGTAAATAGGTGGCCATGCAAGCAATGTCTTGGTCTAATGGAAAACCTGGAATTTCAGGAAGACCCTGAAATTCTGTCCCCATCTTGTCATTCATGTCTGGACAAGGACTTCTTTGTGTGCCTAGATCCTTTGAGATTAAATGTTAATGTGTTTTAATCCTTTGAAACTACTAGAGAGACAATTTATTATCTATGAGAAACCCATCAACAATTGATATTTATGCCAAATATTCCCACCCCACCCCCCACTGGACCTTTGGTCTGATCTCCACTTTTTCATCCTCTCTCCTTTCCCCATCTCTACTCTTCAGTAGAGAGATATGCTCTAAGTAATTAACTTGGCCTGGTGCACCCCATCCTTCTTCCCTGTTCACTTCTTTTTCTCTCAATGTGTCCTGGAATATGAACAACTTGTCAACTTTAGAACGTTAGGGTTCTAATGGTCTGGCAGGATGATGTCTTCCTGACTCCCTGGGGCAAAGGGGAGATCTGGGTACCTGAAAAGACTCTATGTTAGGGGAAATTCCTGAAGTAGAATCCCATGAAGCATCACCTAAAAAAGTGCAGGATCTGAATTCAAATCTGCCTTCAGACACTTACTAGCTATGTCACCTTGGGCAACTCACTTAACTTCTGTTTATCTCATTTTCCTCATAATAGCACCTCCCTTTCAGGGCTTTTTTGAGAATCAAATGAGATAATATTTATATAGCACTTAGCATAGTGCCTGACACATAGTAGGAGCTATATAAATGATAGCTATTATCATTGAAGTGGCATGGGAGTGATCCAAAGTGGTCAGCACCTGAAAACTGCTGTAAACTTGGAATGCATGGGGTAACTGAGGCCTGATAATGGATTTTAAACCATGCATAGTTAGTGGCTTTTCATTAGTTAACATGAATTAGTCAGCACTTGACTGGTTTGGGGAGCATGTTGTCATAAAACTTCCTGATAAAGGGAAAAAATAGCAATCCTCGGCTTTGTTTTTTCCCCCCTCCTGTAACAGGAACCAACCACCTACCTAGTCATTGCTTTCTTCCCTTGCAATGAAATTGGCACAGAAAAATTATGACCTGCCTAGACCATAGAAACACTGCATTGTAAAAACTAGGTCAGGAAATTATGAGTTATTGGCTTCCTCTTCTTTGCTCAGACCCTACTTTGCTCCCTCTGTTGCTTTAACAAAGGCTCGAGGAGAAGCTATCTTGAGGAACAATACCAAGAAAAATAGAAAGCCCAAAGCTAGAGCCTATGCTAAGTATTTGGAAAGGAGTCTCTTTTGTAGTATGTAATTTTCCTCCCAAATCACACTTTCAAAAACGGAGCATTTAAGCATGCAATCTCTGTTTGCCCCTATGGAAGAGAGGTGGGCTGTTGTTTCTACTGTCCTATAGCAATTTGACAGAAGCTATTAACACCACTAGTCACTGCTGTGAAGTTTCACCCATGCATATTGAGATCACAGCTCCATTTCCCCTACCTCCCAGCCCCCAGCTTCAGGCTAATTTTAGCTATCTTCTTGTATTACCTGTGTAAGGTGAAGCCACCAGATTCTTTCGCTGGAGTGAATTTTGCATCCTAATTGCCCCGTTATCTCCCTTGTTTCAGGGGCTAATGAAAATGCAAACAGAAGCGATGCATTAATGTGCAGTTTCTCTCCCAATAGGATCTATATCATGTATAATTTATTTAGTAAGTGTGCTATAAATAGTCACATGAAATTCTGTTGATTCCAGTGGGAGTCAGATTTAAATTGTAACAGCCCCACTGACATCATGAACTTGATCCAACAAGAACAGAAGTGGCAGCTCTGACTCCAGAGAGTCCTATTAATACTGTATCACTTATGCGTTGATGTCATGCCAATATATGCAGTCTTTGAGAGGGTTTCAGGATGAGTATGCTTCTGCTAACTGCTATTTAATGGTAAATGAGAGATTTTATGTAAATGCCTTCAATCCCCCACACACCTTTTCCTTTCATCCTTCCCTTTTGTCTAAATGTCTCCTATTAAGAATTAGACTCATGGTTCCAGCCATTAACTAATTTTGTTACGCCAGATATTCAGTATATATAAAGTTTATGCAAACACTTTTACAAAAAGGATTCAGCAACAGGAGAGCTTAATGGGACCAGTAAAGGATAGAGTTTCTAGAATTTGTTTTTTGAATTATCTTCCTCTTTTTGCAGTTATAACTTCTCATTTCATGACTCTTTAAAGACTAAAACTACTGCTAAATTACAAAACTTGACAATTTAAAAGACCCACGTATTTAATGGAACATTAATGTATCTGAGAATTAAGAGTGCAGTTAGGAGACTAATGTAAACCAGGAAGAGTCATGAGTTATGAGTGAGATAGGACTTGTTCGGCACTCTTGGCAGATTTGGGTTATACTTATAAAACAGGAAACCCAGTAAAGAAAGTTGAAAGTCATCTCTGTTGTAATTAAAAGAACACAGCTGCATTCTTTGTATCCTTCTGCGCACCCTTAGAACAGTGAACATGTAACTGCCACCAACTCCCCCTTCCTCCCTCTTGTTCATTTGTCATCTTAATATTTACAAGAAAAGTGGCAAAGCCTTGTTCTTCTGTTTCCATGAGCCTGTCAGTGAAAGCAAAACCAACCCAGGTTGAGGAAGCCTGGTTTTACTCACTGCTGGGTAGCTGTAGCAAAGCCTAATTATCTGAATTCCACATTTAATAGTGTTGTCTTCCTTTCTGTTGATGGACAACTTACTCTACCATTGCTCTGGTCCCTTTTTTGTTTCTTCCCACCTCCTGTGCCTAGACCATCACAGTCATCTCTTGTCTATCATGGATTGAAGCAATATCCTTTCTGCTTCAGCCATCTCTTCCCTGCCAGCATCAATTCATTCAGCTGGGGCCTACTGACAGCACTAGCTTTTGACCCACTAAAGTGATGACAGGAGCCTCCACTGGCTTTTTTCTAAGATGTCCAAGTTTTACTGAGAAATCCTATGCAATAATGAGTCAACACTCATTAAGCCAACAAGTATTTACTGAGAGGGCTACTAGGTGGCACCATAGTGCATGGAGCACTGGGCTTGGAGTCTGGAAGAGTTATCTTACTGAGTTCAAATCTGGCCTCAGACACTTACTAGCTGTGTGACCCCGGGGCAAGTCACTTAACCCAGTTTGCCTCAGTTTCCTCATCTGTAAAAAGAAGGAAACAGCAAACCACACAGTATCTCTACCAAGAAAACCCCAAATGGTGTCACAAAAAGACTGAAATCTGATTTATTGAGTATGTCCTGTGGTCCTAGTGCTAGGAGTGTGAAGGGTACAAAAGAAGAAGGTATTGTCCATATACTCAAAAAGTATGGCTGGCAAACAGGACTAAGATTTTAAAATATCACTACCAGCAGAATATGAGTTTAATTGTGACTGGAACAAAGGAGGTGAAAGGTGAAGTGAGCATCCTTTCTTAGACTCATGCCCTCACTTCTTTTTCCATTTGACAAATAGTCTCCTGCTCTTTTCATCCCTTACCTCTGCCTCCTTGCCTGGAACTCCTCTTTTACTCAACCCAACCATATCTCTTCAGCTGCTTATTTCCCATTTCCTGCCCTCTTCAGCATTTCTTTTCTCATTTAGTTAACTTCTCCCTCATTTTCTATGCCACTTCTTTCATCTTTCCTTTACCTTTTTTGGTCAGGTGCAATCCCTGATTCTCATCATCTCTCTCTCTCTCTGTCTTTCTGTCTGTCTCTCTCTCTCTCTCTCTCTGTCTTTCTGTCTGTCTCTGTCTCTGTCTCTGTCTCTCTCTTTCTCTCTCTCTCTCTCTCTCTCTCTCTCTCTCTCTCTCTCTCTCTCTCTCTCTCTCTCTCTCTCTCTTTCCCTCTCTCTCTCTGTCTTTCTCTGTCTTTGTCTCTGCCTCTCCCTCTCCTCTCTCCCTCCCTCCCTCCCACTTCCCCTAACTCTTCCCTAAATACCTTCCTCTTCCTACCCTCCAACTTGTCCCTTATCAACTGAAGTGACTTTAGTGAAGCAATCCAAGCAAAAGTAAAATTAACAAGTGTTTATTGAATGCCTACTGTATGCAAGAGCAGTAAGGGGAATAAAAGCATAAAACTGAGTAAGTCTTTCAAATGTCTCCCTATCTACAGGAGGAGACAAGGCATAAACATACAAAAATTAGTAACCGATGTAATAGTTTAAAACGAAGAGAGTATGTAATATATAATCAACAAGTAGTACAGACAGTAAGTGCCAGGAGTCTTGAAGTGAGAGAATGCTTGATTAGGGTGGTCACAGAAAGCTATGTGGAAGCTTTGGTTCTTGTGCCAGACCTTAAAAAGTCAATAAGATTGTGATTTATGGAGAAGTGTAGGAGACAGGAAAGAGGCCCATTCCTGGCATAAATCACTTATCATTATGCTATCAATCTACGATGCTTAAAAGTTAGCCAATATTTAACTTGGGCCCTATTGACAACAGCAAGTCAATGTGGTGTAACGAATAGAGAATTAGCTTTAAATCCAAGAAGTTCTGGGTTCAAGTTCCATCTCTGATACTAATTGGTTGCCTGACACTGGGCAAGTCACTAATGCCCCCAGATAGTTCTCTAAGACAAAAGGTTGCAGAGAAACCAATGTTCATTGGTAGAGGGAGTTTCTTTACCTGGGAATTACTAAATAAATGAAATTATTATAATAAATAAATATGTAATTTTATATATTATATATAAATAAATATAAATAATTAAAATAAATAATCCCTATCCCCTGAGAGCATCTGGGTAAATTTTATCCATTTATTTTGTGGGCTAATCACTAGTATTTATTATTTGACAGCTTTTTGGAGAGTCTCCCAGCCCCAGATTTCTCTAGGTCACATAACTACTATCCAGCATCACTTAGAAAATGTTCACTTAATCCTCACACAGTTAGACAGGCATGCCAGCTTTTCAGTGCCATGCTAGGTATCTTTTGTAGAGGTCTACAAGGAGGAACATTGAGTTGCCACCAAATGCACTGAAAATAAAGAATTTGCTAATGAGAAATAATCACCTGTGGCTACCCAAATCCCACAATAACCACCTTCTCCATAGAATCAGGGAGTCAGTAAGTATCCAAATTCAAGTTATTTCCCCACTCTTCATCACAAATTAAACTGCAAGTCACTAGCACGGCTCTTCAAGAGGCCCAAGTAGAAAAGAAATGCCTCTGAGATGCCATAGTCACTACTATTGCCTGATTCCTATAAGACAGGTCAGGTTTTGCAGCCTAAGCTTGACAGCCTCCATTTTCAATATTTTCTGTGCTATTGTTTTCACTAATTAGCCACAGTTTTCCCGTCAGAAGCCCAGGATCTGAGAGAACAGGTATGTCAGGCTGCCTTTCTTAGTTCTTGACTTCACAGAAATTCGTCTGTTGAACAAAAACAATAGACTACACCTGAGGCTTGAGGACGTGATTCCATTTCCAAATCTGAAGGCACCGTAGGTGAAACTGACACAACGCACAAGGTTTGCATCAACTTCACGGCTTGAGTTTTTTGACGTGCAGCCTCTGTGGCATATAGCCTCTTTCCCACAACTTTAAAAGCTGTTTCTGCCAATTTTATTAGAAAGATTTGAAATCCCTTAACTTACTTCTGAAGCCTACTCACCTGGAGGGAAACTTAATAGGAGCAGTAATATAGGCTGCAAATCCTGTGCAAACCATAATCTTTACAGGATCCCCCACTGTGAATTATATTTTGATGCTTTTAGTGAGTCTAAACATGTTCTCTTTCCCTTGTTTCTCCCTCCCCAGTCTGGCAGTACTATTGATAAATGAGGCAGGAGATAAGTGACTGTGGGCATTTCCAGCGGGTGATTTTTATGGTCATTGTTTTTTTTTTTTTTTTTTTAATTTCTGGTTTTAGATTTTGTGGTGCATCAGACTTTGCCCTACCAGTCTGTTTCTGTGGATACATTCAACTCTAAGAATGATGTTTTTGTGGCCATTGCACAACCCAGTATGGAAAACTGTATGGTCTTGGAGTGGGACCACATTGAAATGAATTTCAGAAGCTATGACAATATTACAGGTACGTTTATGGTCCTAATCGGTTTTATCTACCAACATTCAGCATTGTCTAAGGCCCAGGAAAGAAGAAATGTTCTCGGTCATAAAGGGAGATCTTAGGTGCTAGACTCCATAAATGCAGCCTAGCGTCACACAGCACACATTTTCTCTCTTGCTTTTGCTTCGTGTTGTTCTTTCTGCCTGGAATGACGAAAATATTCTCTGGTGACTCTCATCAAATGAGGTTGGGGAGAGGGGGAGAGAAGAAAAGGAAATGGATCATTTTAAAAAATATTACCAACTGCTATTGGTAGGATATGTGTTTAAATTAAATTTGCAAGAGCAGTAATAGGTCATAAAATCATCCGCAGTCTCTTGCCTTGATCCTCTCCCTTGGCCTTGAAGTTTTGGTTTCAGGTTTTGGCTAACTGGGCAGTGCCTGATTGTACTGCATCTCATTGGGAGTGTATCCTCCGAAGCCAGGCCAGTAGCTCTTTCCTGGTTTGTGTCCCCATTTTCCCAGCTGACTTTGTGATGTTTCTAGAGGTACAAGGTCAGTTAGGTCAGGCCAGGAGCCATTTCTTTTGTTTTGTAACTACTCTAGGGAATCTTGATTGACTCTAGTTGATTCTAGAAACATAGAGAAAGCAGTGAAGAGAGGCAGATATGGAGATGTTCCAGAGGTCCCAAGACACGTTAGGGGGTAAGGAATGCACCATACTGGATTAATCCCATACTCTTCTGTGTCTTCCGTCTTGGAGAATATCAGCACCCACTGAGCTATTATTATTCCAGCAGTCACGGTTTTCTGATCATAGAGCTAATCTAAGCTGCTACAAGATCCCACTATATAGCCAATTTTTTTTGGTAACCTAACATAATGAGTATTATTGCTTCTGGGAAAAATCAGCCTACTTAACACTCTTCTTTTTCCAACTCCTGACATAGACCCATCTCCTTTTCTACACTGATGGTTTGGCTATGCCATCACACAGTACACATACTCATAGTCGTAGAATACTAGAGGGGAAAAGGACCTTCAAGAACACCTAGTCTCAGATGTTCACTGACTCCAGGTCCAGCATTCCTCCCCTCTCTCCCCAACCCCCTACTATACAAGGTCACTCAGCAGCTAATGGCAGGGCTACTTCTTTTGATTCCAAATGTGATTCCCTTACCATTTTACCCCATAGCTTCTTTTTTTTTCCTGTGGGAAAATGGAGATCATTTTTACCCTAGTAAAATTGTGAAAGGTTACTGTTGAACAAATAAACACACTGACTATGCCATTTCTTAGGAAAGAGACACAGGAGGGCTTCTAGCACCTAACTCACTAGCAGGTTCGATTGATCTGGTCAGACAGGAAGACAGGAATAGAGTTATAATAAGGGGTTAAATAAGCTTACTTTATTCTAGCCTAGTCTTCTGAAAGAGAGTTTGCCGATAATGGGAGCACCAACTCCTACAGCATTCTCTAACAACCCTTCGTGAAGGGGGGGCAACTACTTCTTGTCTTGATGGGATCAGTTGAGATCAGCAAAACTTGTTCTCTCCCCTCAATCCCCTCAAGCCTCAATGGGGTCCAGTTGGGGCAAACACAGAGATTCCCTCTCTCAAGCCTTGATGGGTGCTGATCAAGGCATGCACAGCATTCAGTCTGCACATTCACCCTTATGCAGGTCCCCAGTCACTGACCAGCTCCCACTTGCTTTATAGGGCAACAGACAAAGAAGGCCTATTGCCAGCAATAACCTCACAATTTTACATCACTTCATCCCTGTATCTACTGCACAAGCATGGTAGAAACTGTTTCGAACCATGATCATGAGAACTCATATGTAATACCTGGGAAGTAGAGATTGTTATGGCTATAGATCCTGGGAAGAAAACTCTAAGAAAGAATAACAAAAAAATCCACTTTACACACACTAAAATTCACCTTACTTACAGTTGCCCTAAGCTGTCTAGTAATAGAGCCAGTTCTCTTTGCATCCAGGCTGCCTGACCTTGATCTAAGCACCTAAATTGGACTTCATGAAATTGCTCGGCAGTATTGAGTAGTTCCATGCAATGGGGATTTAGTCTTGTTTAGGCAGCAAGAACCAGTTTGGAACCACTGTCCTCAGGAGTTCCCTTTCCTGAGCTGAGACAAGTTTCCGTGGAACTGCCTTTTTTTTCCCTTGTTCTTTTTCACATTGCCTGTGGTGATGTCACTGTGCTCAGCTGATTTCAATTAGACCCTTCAAGTTAAAGCTGGGTGAATGATTTGGCATGCTGGCTTCTTAAAAGGACACAGTGATTTTGAAACAGCAACAACATATGTTATATATAAAATTAATCATTTAACAGTCATGAGAAAATAGGTTTCTTCACACCATCAGTCTCCCTAAGGTGGCTGAACTTAATTTTCCCTACTCCCCAAGATGGTTTATGCTCCCCCCCATATTTTGAAGCAACTGAATCTATATAACTTTGAGTTTTGAGGGCCATTAGAAAGTTCCTCTCTTGTAAAGATAATTTGAGAGACCTCCCATCAATAGGGCATCTTAGTGTTGTTTTCTAAGTTGTGTGATGGATTTGCATTGGCCTCTTCACACATTGTTATGTCCAAGGGAAAGTATTTTTGAAAAAAAACATTGGCTAAGGGTATATAGCTATGGTCATATAATGGAATGAAATCAACTAGCCCACATGGCAATTGAACCTATGGCCTTGGAGTCCATAGCATAGGTTTCTAACCAAATGAACTAACTAATCCATGAATGGAGTAGTGACATGATTTACTTGGAACATATTTGAATCCCATGGAGTCCAACTTTTCTAAATGGGGTATTTAAGCTTATTGTGTTAGGTTGTCAAGTAGAGTGTTGGTCTTGGACGTAGCAAGACCTGAATGTGAATCCTACTTTAGATACTATCCCTGTGACTTAACTTCTGCCATCTTCAGATTCCTCATCCATAAAATGGGACTAACAATAGCCAAATGTAACATGGGATTATTATGAAGAACAAAGGAGATTTAATATATATAACATACATGCAATATACATCTATGTATATATGATCACACAAAACACATGTATGCATATGTGCATCTATATGTATATATAAACATACATATATATGAAGCCCTTTGCAAATTTTCATAAATACTAGCTATTGTGATGTATTATGATGAGGTTCATTCCAACACTAGAGCTATGATTCTATTACTGTTATTGTTATATTATGATCATGGCACTGAGTTCCACAGCCACATTAATTTTATTTTGGATCCCTGTTTATGAAGCAGGATATTAAAAAAACCACCATATTATCTAATTTTAGATACGTGTACCTTGAGGCTATTTGCTATAAAAAAGAATAGACTGGGCAGGATTATTCTATTCAGTCGGCTGCTTCTGCGAGGACTATTTTTAATGCCTTCATTTACATCAGTCATTTCTCAGTATCCCCCCTTCCCCATAGCGCGCGCACACACACACACTATGACTCTGCTTTTGCAACAAAGACTTGAGCAAAGCTGACAGAGCAACTCCACATGATGATATGCCCAGCACTCCATGCTCGTAGTCCCCCTACATCTCTGCCAAGAGGATACCAACATGCATGTGTGTATATGTGCGTATGCACATACGTACATATATTTGCATATACATATATAATACACATTTAATCATCTATTCTTTAGAACAGTTCAGCTGAACTCAACTGCCTTTTGTGATATTTTTATATGTTATCAGAACCATCGTATATTTTGTTCTCTGTTTTTCACTCTATCTCTTCATACAAGTCTTCCCATATTTTTCTGAATCTCTTATATTCATTGTTTCTTTTGGCACAATAATATTCTATTACATTCACATATTATAATGTGTTCTACCATTCATTCTCCAATTAATGGATACTTACTTTGTTTTCAGGCTTGGTTTTTGTTTTTGTTTTCGCTACTAAAAAGTTATGTTATTTGGCACTGACTTTTTTTGGTAATCTTGGGTAAAATGATTCTTCTTTTAAAAATTTGCTTCAATTTCCCATCTAGGAGATCAGGAGATCAGATTGTGTGGGGGGTGTGTGTGTGTGTGTGTAAACATGCACACTTACACATATCCACATAACAAGAAAAAATTCCTGGTCCAAGTCCACTAATTTCAAGATGTACTTTATACAGTAAAATTCCAGTGTGCCAAAATACTCAGGATAATTGCTTTTAGGAAATTTGACCTGTGATTTAGAAAGCCCTTTCCTCTTAATAACCCTATAAAGAGCATACTACAAATAGTATTAGCTCCATTTTAGAGATAAAGAAACTGAGGTCCAGAGAGGTAAACTGATTTGGATACTATAATACAGCTTGTAAGAGGCAGACCTGGAATTAAAACTCTGATCATCTGTCTCCAAGGCCAGATCTATTGGAACTAATTAGATAATTTGGATGTGCCTTTGGGCTCCAGTGATAATATGCTAGGATCTTATTTGTAAGACAGGAATAAGGGGATCACAACATTCAGGCCTCTGGAGCCAGATTTGCTAGTGTATATCTTCCAGTATTCCGAATGGGATCTTGATGTCCCATTTCTCTTAAAATCCAGCGGTCTTCTTGTTTTTTTTCTTGTTTCTTATTAGTGAGATGGTGTCCAAACACTGTATTTTATGAGCTTTCTTGATGATTAGTAAGAAAATTGTTACTAACATTAATGCTATGAAGAGGCAAAGAAGCCTAGGCTATTTTCCTATGAGGATAATTTCATAAAAAACATAGACTTTTAGAGCTGAATGTCCATTTAATTCAACAAACATTTAAATGTGTACTGTGAACAAAGCAGTGTGCTAGTTCCAAGGAAAGATGTTCTCTGCCCTCATGAAGCTTAGAGTCTTTTGGGGGAAGTGACAAAACCACAGATAACTGTAATTTGAAAGAATACATTCTAAGTGCATTAAAGCCAGAGTGCTATCTGAGGGCCAAGGAAAGGGAAGAGGAAGAGAATTAGCATTAATACAGCACCTACTATGTGTCCTAGGCACTAGACTAAGCACTTTACAAATATCTCATTTTATCCTCATCACAACTCCTCAAGGTAGATAACTGGAGGGCAACTGGATGGCTTTATGAAGGACTTGGCATTTTAGTTGGGTTTTAAAGAATGAGCAGTAAAAATAATAGCTAGCATTTATATAGTGCTCTAAGATTTGTAAAGCAATTTACAAACACCTCATTTTATCCTCACAACAACCCGGGGAGGTAAGTGTTATTCTAATCCTATTTTACAAATGAGGAAATCAAGGCAGACCAAGGGAATTGTGTGAGTGAAGATACCTGAGATGAAAAAAGTTTAGAGCATGTTCAGGGGACAGAGAATGGTTTGATTTGGTTTGGTTGGAGCATAGAATAAATTAAGGGAATTAAGTAGCATAAGATAAAACTGGAAAGTGAGGATGGGACCAGATTTTTAATATCTTTGAATGGCAGGCAGACAATCTTGAACTTTTACCTGGTAGGTAGTAAGAAACTGCCAAACTTTTTTTTAAGCAGAGGAGTGATATGAAAGAACTATGTATTAAAAAGATGGTTCTGTCAACAATAGGAGGGACTGATTGGAAAGAGAGACAGAGAGTAGAATCAGGAAAACCTCTTAGGATTCTGCAATTCATAATTTTCTTTTTCTGTTTTTACTCTTCCTGGTTTAGATATCAATATCATATTTGTTTCATAAAAGGAGTTTGGTAGTTCGGGTGGGTAATGCAACTGTAGCAGGGGGGTGACAATGGGAATACAGAGGGGGTGAATTGGAGAGCTTTTATAGAGGAAGTCTCTCCAGGGCTGGATAATTTATTGGATGACTAGTCTAGCCAGTGGAGCAGTGAGGGAGAGATAACAACAAAATTTTGGGCTGAATGGTGGTTACTATAGGTAAGAAAAAGTGAAGTCAGAGAAGGAAAAGGTTTACAGAGAAACACAGTAAACTTAGTTTGGAGTATGTTGGATTAGAGGTGCTGGTGTGACATCCAGGTGGAGATGTCATGTTGGTGCTTAGAGATGCGCGGGTCTTGAGCTGAAAGAGACATAAAATGGTCTAGTCCAAATTTCATTTTACAGATTTCTTTAAGTAGCAAGACCTTACAGTTACAATTAGAAACCCTTCTTGCTAGCATTTCAGCATAGGAGACTCCAAGGAATTTCTCAGGAATGAACTGGCTTAGTAGCAGATGCAGGGACATCAGGGCTCCCAGAGAATGTCATTTCACCCCCTCAGGAAGAAGGGCTGCTAATTAGCCTAATCTCACAATATTGAGAGGTCTACAAGAGACACATCCTGATGCTCCAAAGATGCCATTTCAAATAAGGCTCCTGTGTTTGTTGTCAGGCCATCTGGTCTCTTAGTGCTGAACTAACATTCCTGGAAACAGTGGCTCCACTCTGGAAATGCAAATTCAGCACACTCTAGGGCAGGTGGATCTAATGAGAGAGCCTGGCTGTCCTAAGAACTTAAACTAATAAATTTTAGAAGTACAAAAAGCAAAAAAAAAGAAGAGGCGGTAGGGACAAGTGGCCAAAGTTTGTCACTTCCCTGTTTTCAGTTCTGTTAAACATGTAGGGACTAGAGGACTTTGCATTAATTACTTTGGTTGTTACCCATCCCTTCTTTACCACCTCTGATGAAGCAAAATCTGTACGGTTTGTACCATTGCATCTGTTCTCTATTTGAGGAAGCAGAAATCAGTTTCCCAAGTATTTTGCCTAGTGTCTCCTTCATAAGTTTTCCTTCTATTATGTGTTTGTGGGAATCTGGGTTAAGACCATAGGGAGGATAGTGCTTACTTCCACTTATTTTTCAGGATTATATTTAATGTTTGAATTTCTCATGTGATGTTCTCTTAGCTGTTCAAAAGAACAGAAAGTATACTGGAAGTCACATAGTTCTGACAGGAAGCTAAGAGAAGGATCTGGGAATGGACAAGAGGACCCTGTCCAGAGTCCTGCCTGCTTTCCCCAGTGCAAAGGGAAAAGTCTGAACTTTTCTGTGATATTATCTGCATCGCTTCAAATGTTTTATAAATATCACTGAACCCAAGGATCACCTGGGTCATAGGGGCAGCATGATGGATGGTGAAGAGTATGGCCTTCCAACCCTGGAGAGAAACTGCAGTTGAAAAAACACAGAACAGCAGTAGTGATGACAATGAGAAATGAATAAAGAAAAGGAGCAACTAATAAGTTGCTGAAAACAGAGGCAGTGAAAGTGGGCCAGTCTCTCCTCCTTGAGCAGTGCTGGGCCTGATTATCACCTCAGTGACAATGGGTTGATCCCTGGCTGTGTCTGGAAGTCCCCAGCCCCCCCCCCAACTTTATGTGCTGACAACAGGAGCTCCAGCTTAGCTTCCATGACTCTGATGGGGTTCTCAGTTCCTTTTGCATAGGACTCAAGTGAAGCAGGGCAAATCTGCATCTTTCTCAGACCTTATTTACCTATAATGTCCACATTATTCCTAGACATTATTCACTTATGGTGCATTCTCTGCCCTCATTACTCTGTCTGCCTGTGTGGTGCCCACATTTTCTGCATATTGAGTTGGTGACAGTTTTGTTCATGTTTTAAAATGATTTATTTTGAAGAGATGTTCAAGTTCACCTTAGTTATTGACTCCCCCTGCCCCCAGCCCAACCAGCCTCTGCAGAATAACAGCAGCACTTTCCATTGGCAGGAGAGGCTTCAAGAAAGGCAGAGAGGAAAATACTAATGAGGATTATAGGATTTAGTTAACTGAGTTCTAGGTCCAAATCCTTTCAACCAAAGCAAAGCTAAGTGGATAAATGGAGTAACTATCCCGATTTTTAAAAAATCAGTTCATCTTCCCTACATCTGTGCACACTTCCACCTTATTTGATTTCTCATGCTAGCTTGTTCTAATTCTTTTCGTTATTCCATTTAACACTTTAAAACAGGGTTCTTAGCTTTTTGTGTGTGTGTGCTATGGACCCTTTTGGCGACCTGGTAAAGCCTATGGACCACTTCTCAGAATAATGTTTTTAGCACATAAAATAAAATGCTCAGTATTACAAAGGAAACCAATTATATTGAAATGCATTTATCAAAATATGTATGTTTAAAAAACCAAGTTCATGGTTAAGAACTCCTTCCTTAAAGTGAAAGTAGCTGTGATTGCTAATGACTCCACAAAAGTAGTGTTTTCCTCGGAGAAGCTGGAGAAAGCCGCTCTGCACTTGGTTAAATGCTGGCTCAGGCTGCCCCTCTAATCAACTGAGCCTGGCATTTCTCTCTGCTGCTTCTGCACTGTGGGGACCTAGGTCAAGCAGGCTGTCGAATTAAGGTGAAGCAAAGCAGAAGAGTAAAAGAAAAGACTTTTAAGGAGTGCTCCTAGGAAGTAACAGCACTAGCCTGGGCTTCCGAGGGAAAGCCCAAAGGAAAAGTCAAGGAAGAGTTTCTGCAACTTCCAAGAACAAAAATCACTTTTGTCCAAATTGCCTAGCGAATTGAGGAAAACGTACTCATTGAATTTCCTAGATCAAAAGTCAGCAACTTTTTAGAAGACAGTTGCTTCTTTGCTTACTGAGCACAGGTCTAGAAGGTGGAAGTAATTAACCATGGGCTGGAAGGAGGGGTATGATTAGGAGGTGGTGGTGGCCCAGAATAGGTGGCAACCACCAAGTCTGCCTTGGAAAATCATGTCATGTTCCATCCTGCTGTGCTGTAGGTTGTCAGTGTTTGATATAAATAATTCAGATAATTTGTTCATTCATTCATTCACTCACAATTACTGAAAAGAGGGCCGGATCTCTTTTTGGACAATAGGGACCTGGGTTTACATCCCACCTCTAACACTTCCGAGCTATGCCTGACCACATAAAAAAGTCACGAACTTCTCTTGCCACCCCCAACATCCTCATCTATAAAGTGGGGATAAGAATTCCAGTAATAATTACCTCACACAGTTTAGGAAAGCAACAAATGAGAGAACATATCTAAAGTCCTTTGTAAGCTATAACATTTACAACAGGTCCTAGATAAGTCATCTCTTATCATCCATCAATCCATTTATTCAGTAATCATGGCACCGAAGGGTCAAGACCAAAGTGGTTTTAAATAAAAGGCATTAAGAGCAGCTTTTGGGAGGGCATGAAAGGGAGAGGGATTTTTTTTTTCATTTATCAGGATAGTTAACACAATTTTCCACTTAGATTTTCTTCGACTGGTGAGACTTATACTGAGGACCCTAATATCTCTAAAGCCATTGCTTCTTTTGTTTTCCTTTCTGTATCTTTACAGAAAACAAATCCTGTGCTTCCCCTCCTATCCCATAGCAAATATAGTTAGGGCTTCTTTCACTGCCACAGCCTTTTATGAATGAAGACAAAGGAAAAATGTGAAAACCACTTGTTTTGTTTTAATTGTTAAGTTTTACTAACAAGCTCTTTTTCTCTGAGGGGCCTCAAAGTGCTTGAAAAAGAATTTCTCTGGCTATCTTAGGTGATGGAGTTGGACTGCAGCTGCACTGATACCCTTCCTTCCTTTTTGTTTTGGGGAACAGGTCAGTCCATAGTGGGATGTAAGGCAATCCTGATCGAGGACCAGGTGTTTGTGGTGGTGGCACAGCTTTTTGGTGGCTCACACATATACAAGTATGATGAGAGCTGGACCAAGTTTGTCAAATTCCAAGACATTGAAGTTTCCCGGATTTCAAAGCCCAACGACATAGAGTTGTTTCAGATCGATGATGAAAGGTTCTTTGTCATCGCAGATAGCTCTAAAGCTGGTTTGTCAACCATTTATAAATGGAATAGCAAAGGATTCTACTCTTACCAATCTCTGCATGAATGGTTCAGGGACACAGATGCTGAATTTGTTGACATAGATGGAAAATCCCATCTAATCCTCTCCAGTCGCTCACAGGTCCCCATCATACTGCAATGGAATAAAAGTTCTAAGAAGTTTGTCCCACATGGTGACATTCCCAATATGGAAGATGTATTGGCCGTGAAAAGCTTTAGAATGCAGAACAGCCTATACATTTCCCTTACCCGGTTCATTGGGGACTCCAGAGTCATGAAATGGAATAGTAAGCAATTTGTGGAGATCCAGGCTCTCCCATCCCGTGGCGCTATGACCCTTCAGCCCTTTTCCTTTAAGGATAATCACTACCTAGCACTGGGAAGTGACTACACCTTCTCCCAGATATACCAGTGGGATAAGGAGAAGCAGATCTTCAGAAAGTTTAAAGAGATCTATGTGCAGGCACCTCGTTCATTCACAGCTGTATCCACAGACAGAAGAGATTTTTTTTTTGCCTCCAGCTTCAAAGGAAAAACACAAATATTTGAACATATAATTGTGGATTTGAGCTTGTGAAAAGCTTAAGGAGGTAGTTTAACATACAGTGACATTGGTTCTTAAGAGAAAAGGAAAACAGAGCCACAGCTCTGACTGGGAAAGTTGTTAGAAGTTTTCAAAACTTTTAGAATTCACATTTTAATCAGGGATTGCATTTACTTGGCTAATTGCATGACATGTCCACTCTCATTTTAAAAGACATTTGAAAGCCTGTAATTATTGAGAAAAGCTTGCAGCCTATCAGCGTTAGCTCTTACTATCAAGAAAGGAAATGTGTTTTTTTTAAATAAAGGAGGAGAAAATTGGATCATATGGTACAGCTCTGATAACTAAAATTTAGGAACTATCCATTCCACCTTAGTGATTGTTTCAGTAAGAATGCTTAAAGCAAAAGTCAGCTAAAAAACATTTGCTGATGATTAGCATAAAATCTTATAATGTCAACACTCAGCAAAGCTATTTTGGGCCATCTGGTTCATGAAATTGCTGTCCAGCCTTCTTTTGTCCTTCTTTGAATAAAATGAAGGATATCGTTTTAATTCACACTGATGTGACATGCTAGGGATGTTAACTCTATAGTATTTGAAATTTTTTTGTCCACTACTGAAGAAAAAAAATGATAAACCCTTTAGAGTCCTGGATATGTTAGTCTTGGCAGCAGCCTTTCATTAGAGCTTCAAAATTGGCCTACATGAAGACCATAAGTGTTTAATAGTAGTTTGTGTGAACTAAAATTGTTGAATTCCTAGTATTTGCTTACCCAAAATCATCCCTTGAGTTTGTTGGGTAACCCAACTGACAGGCCAAAGATTGAATGATGCCATGTACTTGGCCCTCAGAGAGATGAATCCCGGGAAGGCAGCCACCTCTGTCCACTGCTGTTGATCATCCTACAGATTTTTTTTTCTAAAAAAGATTTGTCCTTAGAGAATCATGTTAAGTCATAGGGGATCCTTCATGAAAGACAGTTTGCTTAGAAAGCCACAGGCAGTCCTTTGGTTTTTGCATGCTTCTCTCTTTCCCTACCAGACAATGTACCTATATAATATATGTATGCATACCCACACGTATCTACCATTTGTCTGTAGTTCTGCTTGGAGTTTGGTGATGCCACTGTTAGCAACACAGTGAGCTGCTGACTCATCTTTTCTGCTTCTCTCCACCCCCCACTGGCCCCTGACATAAGGTACTGCAGGTGCCAGACTGTGAAAGTTCCGGATCCCCTCAAAGATCCCCCGAATCTTTCCTGGTTTAGTAACAGCAATGCTTAACAGTCACAACCACAACAACAACCAACTTCTGGGGTTAGAGCGTGCCCACAGGTTGATCCACCTCCAGATCAGGGAGGGAGGAAGGGAGCATGGGGCCCTTAGGCTTATCACAAGGGACTACATATCGAGCCAGATGAGCTGAGTCATAGAGACCAGTTCCATGATTCACAGGACCAAGTTGTCCCTGATCAAAATAAGCCTTTTTTTGACTCATAATGAAGTTTTTCTTTTTTGTCCTCTGGCCCCAGTTTTGTGGAGGATTCTCATTGGATGCTCTGCATGGTTAACAGCGTTTATGACTCTAGTTTTCTTTGAAATATGTCAGGCTAGATTTTTTAAGACTGCCTATATAAAGGGAAACCAACCACCTCTGTTCCAGCAGTGAAGTTAGCACAATATTATTGCATCAGTTTTTTTTAAAGTCCATTTGCCAAGTCATGGGTAGATAGCAACCTAGCTACAAATATGAGTGGTTTACTGCCTATAAACAGAGCGATCTGTAGGCAGCAGCCCTTAGGAGGGTGATGCCATGATGTTCTAGCAGCACCCTTGGGTGCACTATGAGACTGCAGGCAAAGAGTTTCTAGCCCAGAAGATGAGTGGATCTAATGAACCAGCCCACATATAACCAGAAGTGTTACCACTTTGACATTTATTTCCAGTCGAGCACTAAATTAATGCACAAGACGAAGTCCGCTTTCCGTTTTTCCCCTAAGCATATTTTAGATTTCTTTTCTTTTCCTGCTTACATTTTATCTTCTGTGCTTTATTTGAACTGATGACGCAAGCCCCAGAGGCTTCCATGTCTCCCTTGACCCTGGGAGGTAGGAGTACCTGGACCACCCTATAGCTCTCTCACTAGCTGTGAAGATGGCTAGTGAACACTTCTTAACTCTGGGCACCACTCTGTCCAGCTCATGTTGCAAACTGGACAAGTAGCATAGGCAAAGTTTAAAAAAAAAAACCTCTCCATGCCCCAGCCCAGCTCACTCCAGTATTCTGTATGCCACCTGCTAGTGATGGGCACACCTGAAGAGGCATAATCTCATAGTACTGCCTCAACTGACTGGTTCCCCAGTGTCTTTTCTGACAGCAGAAAATAGGGGTGTAAATTTTGCACACAATAGAGATCACCAGGAAGCACAGAAATGCTGGTTTTCTTGAGAACAGATGGGCATTAGTGACTAAAAGAAAAAAATTATAAGTCACCTAGGTGGGGCAGTGAATAGAATGCTGGACTGGGAATCAAGAATAGGAAGATGAGTTCAAAATCCTGCGTAAGATACATCCTAGCTGTGTGACCCTGGGCCAGTCACTTAACCTCTCAGCCTCAGTTTCCTCATCTGTAAAATGGGGATAATACCTACCTCACAGGGTTGTTGTGAGGATCAGATGAGCTAATATGTAAAGTGCTTTGCAAACCCAAAAGTGTTCTATAAATGTTGGTTATTGTCACCATCTTCATTTTAAAAGGATGTGATCAAAGATGCAAAAAGCAAACTCCCCTTTCTCTCCAATTCATTTGGGTTTGGGGGGGAGAGGGGTTTTTTTTCTCTGTTTTTAAGAGAGAGCAAGATACTATGGACCTCTGATACACTGAGCCCCTTGGGGAAATAATTTGTCTAGTCATTATCTTTAAATAAGCAGAAAACATTCTAGCAGCAACTGGTTAAGACCTCATACTGTGGATGACTCTTGCCACAGGAAACTCTTTCTCCATAAGCAACTTATAGAGCACCAACAGGCCAACGAAATATTTGAGCCCATCCCCTGTTGGAGGTTAGCATTATTAGTGGCTGTTCCTGTCTCTAGGCTAAGACCTCTGATATTTCTCTTTGCTCTCATCCAATCCCTTAATTTTCTCTTGGTTCTGGCTTCTTATTCTGAGACCCTCTGTGCAGTTAGGGGTACTGGCCTACCTACCTTAAAGCCCAGAGGGATTTTAAAATCTCACAGGGTAGAGGATGGATGTCAGGTACAAACCATTTACTTGAGTTCCTCATTGTTCTCTGGGGCTGCAAATAATAATAATGCCTTTCCAACAATACCTCCTGCTTGGTCAGAGCTCTTTTACCTAGTTTCTCTCCTTTGATATTCATCATAGGTTTTTTTTTTCAGTTTAGATGGAAGCAGGTATTATTGTCTCTGTTTTGCAGATGAAGAAACATAAAGAACGGAGATAACTTAGAATCATAAATTCATAGGTTTAGAGCTAGAAGTGGCCTTAGAAAGTCCAACCAACTTATTTTACAAATGAGGAAACTGAGGGACAAAGAAGTTAAGAGACTTTCCCAGGGTCACACTGCTACTAAATGTCGGAGGTGGGATTTGAACCCAGGTCTTTTGACTCCCAAGTCCAGAATGTAAAGGGACCTTTGTGATCTTGGACAAAATACTTCCCCACTCAAGGCCTCGATTTTTCTCGTTTGTCAAATGAGGGTATTGGACTAGATAATCTTCCCATCTCTCCTATGCCTTTGGAGATCACCTAGTCCATCCCTTCATTTTTAGGATGAGGAAACAAAGGACCAGAAAGGTGACAAATGGAACGAGTTCCCTGGGTTCTTGCCAGTGCTTTTTCTTTCCTCTGTAGCAGACTGGTTTTGTGTGTTTGTTTTCTCCTATCCTGGAGGCAGCATCGGCCCCTGGACGCCATACCAACAAAGCCCCCGTGTTATGGAAGGAAATGTTGCCAAGCAGTGAGCAGTGACAAAGTCTTCAAGAAGTTCCTTCTACTTTCTAAAGAGCAGTCCTGCCTCACCCAACCCATTCTTCTTCTTGAAAGGGGTGGGGGCGGGGGGGGGGAGGGAGAAAGTACTAAGTGCTAAAGCTGGTGGGGCACTCAATGCAAGGCAGATGGGAAAGGCTTTCTGGAGGAAAAAATGGAAAAAAACTTAGGAGCACTGAGGATGCTAGAAAATGATTCCCAGGCTGTCGTCACTCTTGGGGAGCAGGGCAGTAGAAAAGACACGTGGTATTCTCCTGCAGAGTGAGAGACTGTTTATTTTTAGGAAAGAAATCAGCGTGGGATGCTAGAGATTTGGCTGCTAGGAGCAGTCACGATGGAAATTTCTTCCACTGTGGGTATCACGAAAGAGAAATGAAGGTCTGTAGGAGGGGAGTTTATTTACATACCCTCTAAAGAAAATCACGTTAGCAAGGGAAATTGACTCTTCTGTTGCGAGATGAGCACCCCACACAACACACACACACACTGGCAGCTTCTAGGGACAATTCCTCCATTAAAAGATGTCTGACTAGAGATTTCAGGCAAACAGTACAAAGATAAGATGGAGGTGTTAATGGAAGGAGCCCGATGGTGCAGAGTGTGGGAGGACATTAAGGAGAATGGGGGGCAGGAGGAGCTCTGGCAGCTTGGGGAAGGTAGGAGGCAGGGGAAAAGAGGGAGAACACACAGCATTAGAGAATGAAATGCCTGAGACTGTCAGAATTGCCTAGGAGAGAGCTGGGCAAGAAAGTAGCATCCCAGGTATTAATGTAGAAAAACAGCTTAAATGAGACCAAGAAGATACAGTGTTGAAAGGGGGATTCCATTGTAAAGGTCCTAATCCACATGAAAGCGTAGCTTTTTCCTTCTGTCCACAAGAATAACCCCATTCTGTTTCTATGGCTTGTTAGAGCATAATCGAACTCTTTTCTAGTAGTAATCTATGCATCCCCTGTCAATGTCCTTTGACTATCAGGAATGTATCAGGACTGTGATAAAATAGGCCAATATTCCATTTGGTACAGTTTTTATGTATTTTATGTATTTTAAATGCAAAACTTAGGTACAATAACAGTAGTTTATATATGAAAGTACATTTTACAATATGCAGGCTACAATGAATGCATTTTCAGGTTGTATAAATTTAGCTCTTTTTGGTAAATAGATTCAATGAATTATCTGCCTCTTAAATCCATGTACCCTTAAAAATACTAATAAAAAGTAGCACATGATTAACCTGGTTTGCTTACTGGTCTAATTGAATATAGAGCTGAAGACCCACCCTAAGATGATGTGACACATAAGGGAAGCCTTTCCACTGAAATCCACCTCCCATCTGGGTTAGAGCAGGAAAGGGATAGTAGAGGTCATGGAGTGTAGCCTCCTTATTCTGCAAACGAGGACATTGAGGCTTAGACAGGGCAAGCTGATTTGTCCAAAGTGAAACAGCTAATGACAAAACTGGTCCAGGAGCCTATTACCCTTTGAAGGCTAGTTAATCTTCTATCAGGAGGTGAGTATCTTTAGAGTCATCTTGAGAAAAGCAGCTCAGTATAGCACAGGAGGGTCAAATTCACCTAGAAATAGAGCCACTAACTAAACCATGCGTAAAGATGTCTGGGCTGCATTAGAAAACTACATGTTAACAGTATCTGTGTTCTGTTGCATGCTTTCTTCTATGTTTTTTTCAGGTTGTTAAATATTTCCCAATTACATTTTAATCCAGTTCCCTTCCTCTCCTCTGAACACTCCCTCGTAGCTTCGATGGTGAATGTTTAATACCACCATGGTAGATGAGGTGCTGTAGTTGGAGTTAAGAAGACTTCAGTTCAGGGGCAGCTAGGTGGCGCAGTGAATAGAGCTCTGGCCTTGGGGTTGGGAGGACCTGAGTTCAAATCCAGCCTCAGATACTTAACACTTACTAGCTGTGTGACCTTGGGCAAGTCACTTAACCCCAATCACCTCATCAAAAAAAAAAAAGAAGACTTCAGTTCAAATTCTGTCTCTGATATATATTAGCTGTGTGACCAAAGACAAATGATTCAGCCACTCTGAACCTGAGTTTCCTCCTCAGTAAAATGGGGATTATAATGACACTGGTAATACCTATTTCATAGTGTTATAGTGCTCAATAATACATATGGAGTGCTATACAAATGTAAAGTATTATATAAATATATATAAATAAATGAAGTATTATGTAAATTATATAAATAATATCAAATCAAAATATCAGTATCCTTCCAGCATCTGGAAACAGATACTCATTTTCAATCAGCTCATTGAAGAGTTTTCAAATTAAAGCAGTGCCTGAGCTGAGTCTGTAGAAGGCGCCTTTCAAAGTTCTCAAGTCTCCTGAGCAAGAGAACTCCAAACTTGGCATATGACCACAGGCACAAGGTCAGTTTGGATGGTTTGATTCTGCCTGAAGTCGTATGTCTCAGTAGAATGCAGGGGCTTGATGTGTAGGACTTTAATTAAGAAGAGTCTCAGCCTCTACCATCCATACTTTTTGGTTAATTTTGCTGGTCAACCGAAGGAAAGTCTGGGAAATAAATGGCAATTATTTATCCATCATCTATTCAACAAACTCATGCTTAAGATTTACTATGCGCTTTCCTCCCAACAACGCTGTAAAATTGGTGGTGCAAATAATAATCACCGTTTTACAGATGAGGAAACCAGTTTAAAGGTTGTTAACTTTTCCAGAGTTTCTTCTAGAAAGTCATTCCATACAATGTAGCTACTATCAAGATTAGGTTAGCTATTTCCCCCCCCCTTGAATTAATGAAAAAGCTGAAGCATTTATTGCGTACCACCAAGAGACTCATGATATGGTAGATACAGAGCAGGCCTCCAAGGCAGGAATATCTGGATTTAAGGCCTATCTCTGACACATATGAGCTGTGTGACCCTTAACCTTTCACTACTAGAGCCCAGTGGTGTCAAATTCAAATAGAAATGGATCCCTGCAGATATATTGACTTGGAAAACCATAAATTAATGTTATCTGAGTTGTGCTTTTCTTTATTTTGTTCAAGATTTTTCCAGTTACCTTTTAATATTGTTCCCTCCTCACAGGAAGTTTGACACCTCTATTCTAGGCAATTCTTTAATGCTAGAAGAGAAGCTACTGACTTTCTTTGGTGCAGAGTGGGAACACTCACCTTGAAAATGAAATCAGAGCCTACTGCCTAATCTACTATGTGCCAACCACTCTGCTAAGTGGAAGGGGGAGGGGACAATCAAATACAAGCAAACAAGACAGTTCTTGCCCACAAAGAACTCTCGTCCTCATAGGGAAGAAAACACATGTAGGGGTATGGTGGCCAGGGAGGAGTATTGGAGAGAGGAGTCAGAATGGTGTTTGAATTAATAGGGCAATTGATTGAGATGTTCTCACTAGGAATGGTAGGCAGTTGGGTTTTTTTGGGCGGGGAGAAGGAAGGTGGTAGGGGGAGGAGAAGAGCATGCCCTTATTGGCATGGCATGGAAATGTGAGGAAAGTGGCATGATGGGCCTTTG